GGAGTGATGGTGTGGTAGGCATCATCCGCATCATCGCCGCGCTTGTGGGGAGTGATGGTGTGGTAGGCATCATCAGCGTCGTCGCCCCGTGCTGCAATCATGCCCGCATCTGCTGAGCGAGCTCCATGGATAGACACACCATCTGGAAATCGTCAGTCATGCACCAAGGAAAGAGGCATTTTACATACCCACTGCGGGAACCGGGGCAGCAGCAAGCTTTCCGGCCAGGAAGGCCAAGGTGACAAGGAAGAACTTCATCTTCACCGGATCAAGCGACGCAGAGAATTTTTCTGTTGAAATGGAAGTGGTAGGTTTGACTTCTCGAGGCACCTGCCTCAGGAGTCTTATAGATTCGCACAAGTCGTAGAACCGTATAAACCTACATACATACATGTAACTCGGCATGACCGATCTGGCCGGGGTCACTCACTACCCAAGCGAAATTAGGCCATGCATTAGTGCTTGTTAGCACCTCCCAGCGAGCAAAAGCCGGTCTGATTTCACATTTTCAATCCCTCCGGAGCAGTCCTCCCCTGCCTATTGGTGCCCACCTGCATTACAGAAGAAAGTTTGTCAGGAATCTGACATCAAGTATCATCTTGCGGCTCTCTATACAGATGCCTTTCTGCACAACAAGTATTGAAGGCCAATGGCAAATATGCCTCAATCAAAATTATGTCGCACCGGGTGGCATACCCTACACAGGGATCGAGTCTGCGGGTCGCAGAATAAGCCATGGATCCCATTCTCAATCCGCTCTGGAATCATGGCATCTCGTTCTTTGATGAGGCCGGCCGACCTCGCACGCTCGCCTTTCTTTTGGCCCGGCGGTCTGTGACCCCGCTCCGTTCTTCGGCTCCAAAGCTTGCCTCTAGTCTCGAATCCAGCATGGGTCAACATCAGGACCGCAGTAGCCGAAGACCCTATCACGCTTCATGTACCGCAGTGGCTTCCAAAGGACGCTCAACAACCGAAAAAAAAAACATGAAGCTGGTCTGGTGTGCGTGACAAGTGGAGATTCCTATGAGCATGTTCGATGCAGGTGATTGTAGTCAAAAGCACTGAGTATCCCCACCAGCTGCGTCACGGCAGCGAAAACGACCAATATATGAAAGAGCTGATGGGAGGACCCGTATATGTCGAATCGACCTGGGAATCGACTCTCGGGAAACTTGGTCTATACGATCATCGTACTTAGAATTTGATTCCCCTTTCTGCGCGGGACCTTGAGGCTTACCGCATAAACCAATGCGCCCATCAGCAGGAAGGCTCCCTCGATCAGATAATAGGGCATTCCAGATTGAATCATCATTTGCGAGAGGCCAAACATCTTGATCCCATGTATCAATGGCGCGAAGCCAGAGAGGCCCGTCGCCACGAACGTCAGGGCCCGGAAAGTGCGAAATTCCGGGCCCCGAAACCTGGGACTTATCATGATGAAGATGGTAAGCAGTCCGAGAACCCCGATCTGGCAATCGAAGTAAGCGTCACTCGGGATCAATCTTGAAAGATCAGTGGGTGTGCAGAAATTGACTCACCATGGACCAATAGACTTTGCGCTGCACAGGCTCGCACCAGAAGACCATGTATATCCCCGATACAAAATCCCCGATCGTCAAGACTACTATGCCAATCAGGTCAAGCCGCAGCCATAGTTGTTCAATCTCGTGGGAGTGATTCATCAAGGTATGGTATGTCGTCGACAGTCCCAGGCAGGTAGTGGCGGTCAAAAGGAAGAAGGCAAAAATGAAGCCATCAGCCACAGTGACATTGGAGTATTTACTTGTCAAATACTGCTGAATATACCACTCGCCGAGGAGAAAGGCGACGGCTGGTATTAGGTGCGAGTAGATGTTGACCGACTCATTGTGGATGTATGACAAACTGCCAAATGATACTCGAGCCGAGCCTGAAATCGGGCGATAGCCATGAAGGATGTATTCGTTGTCTTGATGCCAGTGCGGTAAATCCTCGAACGCAAGAAGATCTTTGGATCCCGTCGCAGCCTTGGTTGGACTTCTTAGAGACCGTCGGCGGAGGGTTCCCTGCTCATCAGGTGACCTCTGCATCTGAGGGGATGTAACTCGAAGACGGGTAGAAGATGCCATTGCTTTCACGTCTGGCAATGACCATGATCATAATGCGGGTGGTGGTTGGGGCTGGAGGTGGGAATAAGTTAAAAAAAGGGGGTGAGGGTCGTGTGGGGGGACTGTTTCTTGCTAAACCCGATAGTCTTGCAAATGCTTGTATCGCTGGACTACCTTATGCAAGTTCAAATGTCCCAGAGCGTCCTAATTGGCGTCCTATTTGCTCCGCTAGAGGCCGTAAGCGCTCGGTTGTAGAGATGCCAGCGGCATGACAGCCAACGAACAACGTTGCATTGCCCGACCCACATCTCAGGCGACATGGTCATTGCACTTAATCAAGCGCCATCCGTGATTATGCTGCATATGTTCGCCCAATGACAAAAATGCGTCATCTGAGAGTCGAGATCCCCTAATTTAAGATAGTAAGCTACCCGCCGGGTCTGGCCTCAACGCCAGTCATGTAAATGGTAAGCTCGTGGTATTGCTAGTCATGTATCATAGAGTTGTAGGGCAATGCGTCCCACCACGCACGTACTGTACCTTTTCGGTGGAGTCTTATTTACACATACCAACTAGAGATGGGATGGGTGGATACCCGCGTCGTCCCGGTCCGAACAGGCTGTATCATCCCGTACTACACTGTACCATACTGTATTGTGTCGTATTGTATCTGGTAACTACCCTGACCACCCCCACAGGAGGTCCAAGTGTGACCCCCGTTTGACCACTTATTGATCCACTGTGTATATACATTACATACACCTCTCTAATCTGATTGAATGCCTCCATTGCATCGGCATGCTTTCTCACACCCAACACAAACTGAGGGGGTGATTCCGTCTCTTACATTCAGGGACGCAAACTTTAGCATTAATCTTTTATACATTCCCATTGTCGATCTGCATTTCGATTGGGTATGGCCTCCCTTGACGAGTACTCCATCGGGTGGGTTTGTACACTGCCCATCGAGATAGAGGCTGCCAAAGCTTCGTTTGACTGCATTCATGAGAACTTGCTACCTCCGAATCTGAACCTCAACAACAACAACAACAACAACTATATTCTAGGAAGTCTTCAAGGACATAAGGTCGTACTGGCCTATCCAAATTGCCGCGCAGGTGATGATGGTGAAGATGATGATAAACTATCCTTAGCGGATGTTGCCACGCAGTTACAGGCAAACTTCACAGCTGTTCGGATCATTCTTATGGTTGGTATTGCGGGTGCGGCTCCAAAGACGAACGATGATATTCGTCTTGGTGATATTGTTGTAAGCAATTCGGCAGTCGGTCTGCCGAGTGCCATTCAGTATGCCGCGAACGAAGAGCATATGAAAGATCAACGTCTTCGTGGTAGAGCGCTAGGACGGCCGACTTCATCACTGCTTCTCACAGCAACGAGGAAAGCCGAGACAGCCGCCATCTTCGGTGACAGTAAAATAGACCAGTACGTCGGCGACATTGTACGCAAAGACCCCGTCGTTTTCTCCCGCCCAGGTCCCGAACCAGATTTTCTCTTCCAGCCGAATTATGATCAGGCAAATATTGATTACAGAGAAACCGCGCGCAGAGATTGCGACCCGGGGAGAGACCGGTCCCGGCAGCCTCGGGAGACACAGGGACCTACAGTGCATTATGGCCTTATCGCCTCCGGTCATCATGCGGTGCGCCACGGAACAACTAGAGACACATTGCCGTACAAACAAAGCGTGCTGTGTTCCGAGGCGGGTGGGACCGGCTTGAAGGATGCTGCTCAATACTTGATTATCCGGGGAATCTGCAACTTTGCAGATTCGCATCGCTCGAAGCTCTGGCACCCCTATGCCGCAGTGACTGCAGCAGCGTACGCAAAGGAGGTCCTTTTCTTCATACCCAAGGTTTCCAAGACAGTACCTCTGACACCCAACCCCGAGGCTGGGCCCATTCTCAGCGCTTTGCTCTTGACCAGACCAGAGGTTGACCGAAAGTCGCTGATTGTATTGAAAGGGCGCAGAGCCGACGGCACGTGCAAATGGCTCCCACAGCATCCACGCTATCGGGAGTGGTTGTCAAACCCAGATCAACGACTGCTTTGGATCTCGGGTGGCCCCGGAAAAGGAAAAACCATGTTGGCGATCTATATTACAGAAGTACTAGAGGAGTCGGTTGGTGGTGGTGGTGGTGGTATCACCGGCGATGTTCTTCTCTACTACTTCTGTAGTGACCGCGATAAGAATCGGAATTCGGCCTTGACCATACTGAGAGGTCTCATACATCAGTGGATTGATCTTCAACCACACCTGGCCCAATACATCAAGAACTCCTTTGAGGGGACTGAGACGACCAAGTACACCGTTTCCAGCTTTGTCGCCCTGTGGAGTGTCTTCCTCACGATGCTTCAACATAGTGGGTCTTCCCAGGTGGTCTGTGTGCTGGACGGCTTGGATGAATGTGAGAAGGGATTGCTCGGCCAGTTTCTCGATGCCGTTGGGAACTATTTGTCAGAAGCCCCAAAATTGGGAAGGCCACGACTGAAGCTTATTTTGCTCTCCCGGCCCCATCCAGCTATTTCGGGGAGCAGACTCAGCCAGTATCTGCACATCAAATTGGACGACTCCAATGCGGATACAGCAGATGACGTCAAGAGGTACATCACTGCCAAAGTCACCGAACTGGCAACTGAACAGAATCTCTCCGACGAAATGATTGCGCAAGTTCGGCAGGCATTATTGGCCGGCGCCGATGGCACCTTCTTGTGGGTGGGCTTTGTTGCCAATGAGCTTCAGGGGAGGAGTTGGGACAGAATCAACGAAATCATCCACCGGATTCCTAAAGGCCTAGCTGGAGTATATCAACGGATGCTTCAGCAGATTAACGACAAGGAAGCGCTGGTGCCCATTCTTCAGTGGGTGGTTCTCGCTGCCCGGCCCCTCACAATTGACGAATTGACAGCGGCCACAGATATCAAGGCATCCGATACCCTTACTGCAGCCGATGTGACCAAGGGTCGGCTCAGACTCTGCGGGCCGCTCGTGAAGATTGAAGGGGATGTAGTGAACCTGGTCCACCAGTCGGCGAAAGAATTCTTCCAGAGCAACCAGGTCAACGTCAAAGGAATCAGCATGTTCTACATGGACGAGAACACCCACAAGAGTCTCATGCGGACCTGCCTCGCACACGTCGAGCATAGTTACCTCTCCACCGGAGCGACCGATGAGAGGTTTAACCGCAGTCCACTCTTCCTTTATGCTGCTCAATACTGGCCGGTGCATTTCTATCACGCGAATGACGCGGTTCAAGGCCCGTCCGAGTTCTCCCGTCCGTTTTTTGGAGCCAAGTCTGCAATCCGAGACAGCTGGTGGAGATTCTATTGGGAGCAGGAGAGGAACGGCGGAAACGCGCCGGCGTTCACGCTCCTTCATCTCGCGGCGTATCTTGGCAACGTAGCCTGGGCTAGATGGTTGATCAGCAAGCATGTCCGCCTCGTTTCGCGCAAGGATAACTACGGCCGAACGCCGCTGTGCTGGGCCGTCAATCGAGGTCATCGGTACATGGTGAAGCTGCTCCTCGATCACGGTGCTCGTGTCAATGTCAAAGATCGAGGCCGGTTGACGGCACTCCATATCGCGGTCAATGGACAGTACAAGGACATCGTATCCATGCTACTCGATCACGGTGCCCATCTGGAGAGCAAGTCTGAGCATGGAGACACCCCGCTGATCCGAGCCATTCAAACGAACTCAAGGGAGATCATCCAGATGCTGCTTGAGCACGGCGCGCGCGTGGACGAACTGCCCACCCCCTCAGGAGTCGCCTCTCTGAGAAATTCTTCTGACCCGATGGAAGAGAGGGTGGAAGAGCTACTGGGACTTCGAGAACAGATCTTCCTCGCCCGGTACAAGCAGGCGTCGCGAAAGGTCAACCTCGTCATGAAGGCCCTCGGTCTTTCCTTCCGCTTCCCCATCGTTCTTCCCCTGGTCACCCTTTATCTGAAGTTTGTGGCCTTCGACCGCTGGGAGAATATGCCTGTGCTGCAGGAGGTCGCCAGGAGGCGTAAGATGAACGAAATGCGCCAATGGGCAGAAGCATACCGTGAATTCTTCGTCCAGCTGGTGGTTTCCAGGAATCAGAAAGGGCTGCAGGCCATGACCGACCTGCCGACGCAAGTGTTCCGGGAGGTCGCCCCCGGGGATCTGCAAGCCCTTCTCGTGATTGCAGTCCTCGTCGGCTCGGAGGCCAAGCTCGCAGCCGTCCGACACGGGTGGAGAGAAGGCGATGCCATCACCGCCAGAGCATTCTCGCATTGGGCCGCGATCGCCTGCCAGAGAGGCGCCGAGGAATCTTTACACTACGGCGTCCGCGACTTCTTGAACGACTTCGATACCTCGATCCGTAGCGGCAACCGGGAGGACAATGTGGCGCGGACTGTGGTGCTTCTGACATCGCACTTTGCCATGATCGAGAATGACGAGCCGCGGCCAATCGAATACTTCTCCGGGGTCATCGCCGAGTTCTACGAAGGATACATCGGTGGCGCGCACGAAGTTGACTTGTTTAATGACGCAAATCAGGCATGCGCCGGTGAATTGGCCGGCATCAGCCGAGACCGCGATTCCACTAGATTACTTCTCTTCCTGACAAGTGTCTTCCAATTTGCCCAACGCTCGCAAGGGACAGGACGGGATCGCTTCCTCAATTTACCCTCCGCGGCATGCTTGATTGTCTGCCAGGAGAATGCCATGTCTCATCAGTGGCTGATTGGCGAGGCGATACCAGAGACGATGGGCACCTTGATTTCCAAGCAACCACCAGGATTGCTTCGAAAGCGTGCGTGCAAAACCTTGGTGGAGTGCCTGATCATTGGGAAGCAACATGGCTTGATATTGCAGGCGGCTGAATTGAGACGAAGTGCGAATGGAAGTCTGCAGTCTCTGCCCACCGACGTCCACGAGATGGTAAGCCGGATCATCGACATCTGAAGCACCGCGCAGCCTCTCGGCTTAAAGTGTGGTGAGATACAGCGAGAGCCAGGTTGCAAGGAACAACGGGGCCCCTGTTGATACAGATGATTGCATGTTGCGAATGGCCTTACCGTGTTTGATTTTCTGAAGCAGTCTGCTTGCTTATGGCGTCGAGGCGAGGTTCGCATTTCAAGTAGCGGTTCTGATGAAGTGTTTTGACATTGGGAGCGATGCACCGTACAATAGCAAAGGATTCTATCTAGCATTTGATGCTTCGCGTGGAGGTCACTCAGTCTTGACACTACTTAGGTCTTTCTTGAACTTTCCGCATGGATGTCTGTCTCTGAGCGGTGGGTGTCTCGGGCAAATCCTGTAGCGTGCGCTCATCATAGTACAATTCTCGTCTTCGTGGCTGAGGTTCCTCTGATCTCAAGGGTTTTGAAACCAAAAGGGGTTCCGCTCTTCAGTGTCTCCCTCCATTGACATTGGCCGTCCATTCCCTTTTGTTGTCACGACCATGCTAGTATGGTTGATGATTTGGCGGAATTGAGGAATTGAGGCAGAAGATGGTTTGAGACTCCTCTGATTACCGGCGGGCCGGCGCTGACTCTCGGTGTCAGTTGAAATCGAGCTTTTCAGGAAGGGCCAGGGCCAAAGAAGACTCTCGCTGTGTTTGTGCTGAGATGGCAGTAATGAATAGCGATACAGTGGCTGGCTATCTGTTGCTCAGTGGCTGTGCTGCTACGGCAACGGGTTCGCAACACTTGCTTCGTAAAGCACGCATGCCCATGACCTGAGTAGGCCTTATGGAAATCAACAACCATGGACCCTATCCCCTCCAATATGACCGACGAGACCTTGCTTCCGTCTTTCTCTATCCCTGCTGTGTGGTCAGCTTGCCTTTCCGGTCGCCGGATAGCTAAACCCTTGGATACAGGCCGACTCGCAAATGATGTCAGCAGTCTGTGTCGCTGTGATAGCACAGCAACTCACAACCCGAGTCATGTGAGCAACGAGCTGTTGACATTCAATTTTCACAAGCTAGGTGGTTGGCAGCAGGGCCAAGACATTAGCTCGAAGAGGCACGAGGCATTATGATCTCAAGCCCTCGCTTCCCATTTTCGTCGCCGTGCGCTGGAATCGCTATCCCAACAGCCGCCTGAAGAACCGCGTCAGACCCGACCCATCGGACTTCGCTTTACGTTTCTTGTCGGATGTTTGGGCTCGAGGTGGCGGTGGGCGTGTTGGCGTCGTCGAGATGGGGTGGTCCAGCGGAGATGACGCTGACGGAGCGGAAGCCGATAAGAGCAATCGTTCTCGCATTGGCGGCGGTGGTGGTGGTGATGGTGATGGTACAATCGACTGGTTTGGTAGTAAGGGGCCTGATCGACGCGGGGCGGAAGGCTGGCCATGCGCTCGGAGTGCAATCAGGATCCGGCGCTGAACGCTGGGGTCGGAATCTGGCCGTGGGTGGACAGTTCGATTGAGCCGTCGCAACACCCGGTCATCAGCGATAAATTCCTTCCAAGATCTGCGTCCCATGGGGAGAATATTGGGATCTGCACCCATCTCGAGGAGAAGGTCTACTATATCAAACATGCTCGTCTTCACCGCGTAATAGAGCGCGGTCCGTCTTCCGGAATCCATGCCGTTGACATCACGACTCGATAACTAACTAAATTCTATACCTATTGCTATTGGTTAGTCGATGAATTGGAAGAGTGAGTGAGGGGCTACAATGACCAAGTGAAGGCAACAAGTAAAAGGGGTAGCATGAACCGCGATGGCATGGGATCAATCTCGTCTCTCTCACCTTTGCCTGGCCCGGTCAAAATAACTCCAACCCTCCCCGCCATTGCCAAACATCTAGAAGTCATGACTCTTGCAAAGACCTATTTTCTGTGTCCGACATCGGATTTTCTCCACCCACCGCCAGTGGGTCCGCTGTGTCTTGGATCTATACTCCGCTCCACGTCAACACCGCAATACCCTCTGAATAGAGGGGGATCTGTTGTCGTGACCGCGCCATTACCGCCGGTCGTGGACACCAACTGGAGGAAGACCATCTCCACCGAGCAAGGACTCGGGTGCGGTGTCTATGCACAGTTCCTGCAGCTGGCTACCGGGGAATCGCCTCTTGGGCCTGAGGTGAGCGTTGAGACTTCCAGAAAAAGGGCGGAGGTGTTTGCATTCGATCGGATGACGACTCTATCATTCGAGCCATCGCAAGAGTACGTTGAAGAAGCTATCCAAGCACCGGCCGTGCAGACGTGGCTGCGGGAGCCCAAACAGAGATTCGCCCCCGTGGTCTCGCTCTTTCTCGTCACGGGTATGAAACTCGTTCAAGGCGCCAGGATCCGATACTCCACTGCGCAGAGTGCAACAGTCCGAGGAAACATTGGGTTTGACGTGACTGCGCTGGGTACATCCATCGGCCCAAAGGGCCACTGGGTGAGCAGGAACGAGGACGGGACAGAACTCAATCGTGAAACGGAATTTGTGTTTGCGTTCCGCGTGAAAAGGCTCAGATTCGGGCGCAAACTGAGGGTGGAAGAGTACAACAAGGGCGCATTCTTGGCCATTGGTGGAGAACAAGAGGATAACGCATCTGTTCTGGTCGAGGAAGTGGACGGGTCACAGATGAGGGCAGCTCTAGCCGTTCCGGATGCGACCGAGAATGGGAATGTCTATTGCGTCCCCGCTTAAATATGCTACAATCTTTTCGAGACCCCAATGACCAGTGGGCAGCTCTACTTTAACGGCATTGTCAGTACCTAGCTGTCTAACTATACATGTGTTTCTTGATGTCCCCAATCTTTTCATAGACATGCTTCCTTGTCGAATCTCTATCAAATATGACATGGGGCGTGAGGTAGTGATAGCCTGCTCCTCTTGTATGCCTGACCATACTCTTCAGAACCGCATCCATCGAGCCGGCAAATTTCAACCACGGCCCCAGGGATTCACTGCCTGGTTTGATATATTGGTCTTGCTGTCGGACAAAGGACAGAACCGATGTTGCTAGTCCAGCGGCTATAGGGGTTGCGATCGATGTACCTGACAATACCTTGACAGTTTGACCGCGGCCATCTTGGTTAACTGGCCAATGAGAGGAGACACACTCCCCAAGTAGACTGAAGTTGACATCTTTGTCGTCTGCGGTCGGGTTGAACATGGAAGGATTACCATGTCCATCAGTCGAGTGTATACAAAAGACACCGGGATACTGAGCTGGAAAGGCCCTGCCAAGGTTCCCTCCATCATTCGATGCCGCCGAGAATAACAATGTCTGACTGTGTATAGCATTGGCTATGGCTTCTTTTATTGGGGGGCTGTGTTCACGAATCCCGAATGACATCGAGATGATGTCCACTTTCCATTCGGAAACTGCGAAATTGATGGCCTGAAGAAACATTCAGCTCGAATTCGATATCCTGCTCTGCCACAGAGACAGTCCTACCTTTGCAATATCGCCGTAGGTACTACGATCGAGTGTCTCTCGATGCGCTATTCTGGCGATGTAGATCTCAGCACATGTGGCAACTTTGAGCAGAAGCCCAAGAGCATGAGTGCCGTGCCCGATCTCATCTCCGATGTCTTCTGGCTTTGTGTTCGCGATGAAGCTTCGCGCGGCCTTGATCCGTGGATCCAGTTGTCGATTATCGGTCATTAGAAGTGGATTCTGAGGGTCAAATCCAGAATCTAGGATCGCTATTCGTACCGGTTCAAACGCTCTGGGCTCGGCTTCAATTGATTCGTATGGGTCAACAAAGTGATGAATGGAAGACAGAAGGTTGTCCATCCATTGTTGCGAAAGTTGACTCCTGTCTACCTATTAGAACCGCCAAGCATCGTGACCATTAAGAAGAGACCTCACTCTTGTTCACAACTCGCCTGGTAGCTTGCATCAAAAAAACACAAGCTCTTCGCTGGCGGCTCCGCCAAATGTCCGCTGAGTTGCGTTCTCAAAGGAAGCCGTGCCGGCATTCGTAGAGCCATCTCTGAGATGAACGATGTGTAATCCGCAGGCGTGACGTCAGAACTAGAACGGTCCGGAATTGCTTGGGCGCCGATACTTTCATTATGTGAGTCTGCCTTGTCTGTTCGATGGCGCACAACTTCGCAGCCGATGGAGCCCCAGCGGAGCCTATTCTCTTGAGACTCAAATGAGCCCAGATCCTCCAACCGAAGTCCCCACCCCTTGATTATTTCAGACTCAAGCCGCTTGACAACATTTTGGTAAAATAGTCGCTGTACGCTGACCGATTCAAAGTCAGCCTGCTGTCCAGGGGGTAAGTACTCCCACTGCAGGCATGCCTTGGTAGCAAGATAGTAATCCACGCTCGCATCAGCTTCCAAAGATTTAAGCTTTTCGAGACTGGTGTAATAGTCAGTGTTGACGTTTCTGATGGTGGACGAGTCCTCCTGCATCAGGTCCACGGGTGTGCAATAATGAAGCTCGCACAAGAGTATACCAAGCGCTAGCACACTGGCATTGGGATGCACCCTGTGTTTAGAGTTCTCCGAGCCAACACCGTTATCTTCATTGCGGTTTGAATGGATTGGGATGTGCTCTAACGCGAGGAAAGGTTTCGTAATATCTGGAAGTTCTCCACTTTGCAGTGGCTCAAAGAACAGAATCTTCGAGTGATCGAAGGAAGGCTGCAGCCACGGTGTCTCCAAGAACGGCAGAAGTGCGGTCGCCAGAGTGACGGCCAAGACCCGTTTACCCTTGAATGGCAGTACAGATGAGCCCCCACGTAGTTCCTGCTGACGCTTGAATAATGCCGACAACGAAACCGTTCCAGACCTGCTATCACCACCAAAGGTCTTTGGTTGCGGACGAAGCCTCTGAAACCTCCCATCTTCAAGAGCAAAGTTCAAGCAATTAGCCTGGCCAAGAGACTCTGTAATGCTTTGACAAATGTGGGCAAAATCGGAAGCACCGCCAGTTGCAGGCTCGAATGTGCTCCTCATCCTGTTATTATGCACATCTCTGCCGCGAGTTCGTCAGTCAAGATCATGGCCGATTGCCGGAGGCCATAAAAGCTTACTTGACGGTTATTCTGGCTTCTTGTAACTCTACCGCAAGAAGAGACCGTACGCCGAAGAAAACTTCGAAGCACGTCTCGACCTTCAGATCCTTCCTTTGTCGTGGCAGCGAAAGTCGAACGCTTAGTCCTGAGCACTTATGGCAAACACAGATCCAATCTCTTCGTAACGCATTGTTCAAGGATAACAACCGTCTTCTCATCAGCACGGCGAACTCGGCATTTGGGTCTTCGGGATCATCGCACGTAGCTGGATCTTCGCGAGGTAGAACCCGGCGTCTCTTAGCGTCACTTTCCAGATACGCCAGTTCCTGAATGACAGCTTCACTTTCTCTTCTTCGTTTACCAGGGCGAATGGAGATTTCAGGGCTGGAATGCGAATTTTGATTCCGACAGTTGATCACGCTGCGCATCGTCTGAAACATTGGATACGGCACATCATCCAGTAGGCGCTGGTGCATTACTTCATGTTAACAAGTAGCAAGCGAGGGGCTGGAAGACTGAAGCTTGTTGTATATGAAGAGCGCTTACATAGTCTGGTTCTCGGGTAGAGTCGTACTGAACATAGTCTTCGAATGCACGCAAGACCTTTGCACGACGTTCGGGCTCAACCTCGTCCAAGTCGTCGGCATCATGCTGCATGTATGCATCCGTTCGAAGCCAGGCTTCGCATGCGCGCGATCTCAACGACGCGGGCTGCGCGGACCTTTCCGGTGGTTTTCTAGCGAAAAACCCAAGCACGGCCTTCAAAAGACCTCGAGAATCGTTTTCGTCCATCATTCAAAATCAGCCCAAATGGATGAAAGATTTGACCGGGACTCAAATCGGCTATAATATGCAAGGATTGAAAGGCAGAAACTAGGCGCCTTGGCTATGTATTATTAAAGCCTGCCAGTTCTGGCCTCGGGGCTGTGCTAGCCTGCTGCTAAGAAGAAAAAAAACATTTCTGATTTTAGGCCGTCTATTCACAACCCTCCTTCTGACAAAAAGGATCTGGGTAGGGGGTAGCCAGAAAAGACCACTACACTACGGCAGGTTTTTTTATTCCCATAGCTACGCGTACAATTGTCTAGTAGAAACAACCTTTTTCCATGAGTATGGGATCGCGAGTGACAGATAGCGGATCTCAGCGCGGAAGTATCCGGGATGACCCCTTCGGAAGACCAAGCGGAGAGTACTGTACTAGTAATACTAGTAACAGTATTAACCGCGTACTGTACTATACTGTACTAGAATTTCCAGTAGTGGGGTTAACCCACTAGGTTCGGCGCGTATTTCAGCCCTCAAAGCTTGGACCAGGACCAGGAAACAGCTGCAGTGGATTCAGTGGATTCTCAATACGACAAAATCCACCTATCTTTGTTCGGAACACATCAATAAGCCCGTTCTCCAGCCAATATCCTATAGATTGGGGTGAATTCTCCGGCTCGAGGGTGGGATAGGCTTGATGGGTTTGTTTATTGTTTATCTCTTACCGCGTTTCTGAGCCGTTCGGGTGGGCCGACGGGGACCCAAAATAATGAACAGCAGTAGACTACGGACCTCAGCGGTGACAAGCCCCGACTCACTAAGCGGCTAGCTTGAGAATGACTACGAGCAGCTGATAGCAATGGCTCAATTAAGTGGACCCGGGGCTTGAAATCAACTAGTAATCTATAGGTAGTTCCTCGGTCATTTTGAGACTTTGCTAGGAATCCGATCCTTTGTCTCCTCACTGACGCCACAGCGGCTTAACCATTTGTCTGCTCGTTGAGTGGCCACAGACGTGTATGTAACCGTCATGCTGTGGATGCTAGCCCTGCCGTTTCTACCGGGAGATAAGTAAAGCCTTGCTGTTGTAGGAGCGCCCTCCTTTCTATTTGAAGCGGCAGCGCTAAGGCTATGCATCCATCCACGGTACCGTATAATTTAACAGTCCTGCTGTACAGTACATGCGTGCCATCCTACCCCGGATAATCGGGACTTTTGTAAGGAGCAAATTGTTGCTATCTGTCAATTCCCGCTTAACTTCCAATCAGTCCCATCGCCCTCAACTATACCTTTGCGCTGGTATCCCTCGACTACCGCCTTGTTCTAGGTTGAGCTAAGCCCACTGTTACATGACAATTTCCTGGTGACATCTCTCTGCTTCTCTACTCCTTTTCCCGGCAACTTAGAACTAAGCTCTTTTGATATTCTTCATCCTGGCACTGTCCGACTCTTGATGCTCAAGTATCTCGGGAGTAATATTATGTCAGGGGCAAACCTCCAAAGACGGCAAGTGCCGAAAGTCAATATGAGTACCAGGATTGGTTCCACGAACCAGCCCAAGGTCAAAGCACGCATCGTTACGTGGCGGGAGATCTCCGAATGGCAATTCGACAACAAATATATCCTCGGTGGCTACCGGCCCGCGAGAGCAGACTATATGGAGATCTTCACCAGCCTGACCTTTTTGCACAACGAATCGTGCAATGTCTATACTCATCTGATTGGAGCTCTGCTCCTACCACTCGTTGCAACTACGTTTCGGCGAGAATTGGCACAGCCTCATTTCCTCGGTGTGTCATTTATGGACTACGCTATGTTTGGGATCTACTTCTGGTGTGCGGAAATCTGTTTGGTCCTCAGCGCGCTCTACCACCTGATGCAACCCCACTCGCATAGAGTAGAACAGTTCTGGCATGGAATGGACCTGCTTGGGATTGTTGTTGTGACGGTGGGAACATTTTCGTCCGGCATCTATTATGTCTTCTTTTGCGAAGCGAACTTGCAGAAATTGCACTGGACCATTGTAAGTCTCCCCCGTGACGCGCTTCTCCGCACAGCCCAGTGGAATGCAACCGTACCCTGACGCAAGCCCTAGGTCCTACTTACGGGATTCGTCACCGGTGTCCTTATCTCGAATCCATTGCTCAGAACACCGCGCTGGCGGAAATTGAAGGTGGGCGCTTTCGTTACCTTCGGTGCTTCATCATTTATACCTTTGCTACATGGAGTTCAGCGATACGGGCTCGGATACATGCTGCAATACTCGGGAATGCGATGGTATCTACTCGAGCTGAGTCTCTATGGCATTGGAGTCAGTCTTTATGCGGTATGTCTGCACGCCCACTCACTCCGCTTTCTAGCCCGAGAGAAAAACAATTCTGACAAAGCCCTATAGTCCCGTATTCCAGAACGCTTGGCGCCTGGAAGGTTCGATATTTGGGGGAGCTCGCACCAGATCTTTCATCTCGCTATCCTAGGCGCGATGTACACACACCAGATTGCTCTGTTTCACGGCTTCACAGCCTGCCATACATTGGATGTGTGTCAGCTCCAGGGTGTCTATTGAGCAAATTGCAGCTTGATTCAATGCCAGTGTACAAGCTACAGTACATACAATCCACAGAGCACGTAGACTCGTTGGCAGCTGCTTGAATGGTACGACGCTAAATATCGAGAAGGGGAATCTGAATCGGCAGCCCGCCGTGATGGCAATAGGTCGAGAATCTATGGAAGATAGGACAGTAGAACCTTGTAGACCTCAGTACGGTACCGAAGAGATATGACTCATGGCCATTGCTCTTCCGAGAACTTCAGTCCCCCTTCGCTCTGGCGGCCAATGTCTGTTGTTATTAGACGCTAGTAAGAAATCCGCCAAAAATACTCGAGGACTTTCTGGTAAGGACGTACCAGCCTGTCCAGTGCTATTGAGGATTATGGCTGTACTGGCTTCGACTAGCGCTTCGAGTGCTGTGTCCGTCGTCGTTTTTAATGGAGAAAATGATTTACATTGGAACTAATTTGAATGATTTAGAGCACTCAGAACATATTATCATCTCGAATCAGAGTCTCACAGCAAGACTGATCATTCTGGCTGTCACATGACACTTTCCCCACAATCCTGTACCGCTTCTTATAGAACTCAAACCACTCATTGAGGATCGTCTGCTCTTGCTCCCCGAGGTGGTGGAACTCAGCTGTGCACGATGACTTTTGGAAGGATGATCGAGCCAGTGCATGCGAAGGATCTTTCCCCGCATATTCTGCATGGTGGCAATTCGAGGTCAATCTCAATCCAGCATTTAACGTCCCTTGGCAGGAATGTACAGGCGTACCGTGATAACACCCCCCCGGCGCGAAAGCGGGATTCCTGCTCACATCGAAGACTATCCCCTTGATGGCGAAGAGGGTCGGACGGGCGGGATCTGTGCCTGGTGCATGTTATTTGCCGAGGTCTGGGTACTGGTGCTCGGTGTACTTTAGCATACCATCGGCGAGGTGTAGTTCGTGCGGACTGATAGGGTCGAGCTTGTCGAGATCGAGGGATTCGGGATACTCCATATTCGAGTCATTATATGCTAGTGTTCCGCAGATAAATAAGATGTACTGCCCGATTCTAGTCTTGGTAGCGGATACTCGACTTCTTAAAGATTATCCCCTGGAGCAAGAACTGTGGTATCTCCCTGCACTGCCTCCCCCGGCTATTCTGTCTCACGGGAATGATCGGTTGCTGGCTCTGGACCAAGCCTGTGAAAGGAGTTGGGTAGGTGCAGGCCTCACGTTCCCACGGAACGCGCAAAAATAAACCTCAGCAATAGTTCATCTGGACCGTGCAAAGCGAGATCCTTTATTGTTTTCCCCGCTATTGTTCCGGTTCAGTGGAGATGGTACCGAATCAGGTGGAGTTTGCCACCCCGAAGAAACAATGGTACGAACATCCCTGCAGCATCATCGATTACGAATTCAATGCTTAACTTCCGGTCAAGCTCATGCTTCCCCACCAGTCGGTAGAATTTTTTGCCAATTCTCGGATCCGACTCCGCAGGAAGCCGTTGGGCAACAACGCGCTTATCCGGGGTTATTTTCTCGCAGACTAGTAGTTCAGAAGCGGGAAGGGTCGGCTAGACGCATATAACACCACCAATACGGGAGATGCTAGTTTTGTAGCTCTTCACAGCTCGATATGTGGCTCTTCAATCAAGTTGAACACCCACCGCTCAGGCTATATGACACTTATACGCAATATCCATCGCCATTGACAACAACCAGAAGCCTAGCGACTTCCCCAAGAACCCTCGTCCCTTGACTCCCAAGCCATGAAGTCCTTCCCAACGCGCTCTGGCCAGATCTTGATACACGGCCACTTGGGCGTCGGGGTGCACGACAGGGTCGGGGGTCAGACGTACCTAGTGGTGAATTGCCTGATGGTAAACAGAATGCGGCCCAAGAAGGGCCCGTTGCGACGGATACCAAAAGGATAGTTAGCAGACGGAGAGTGTTAGAAGTGTGAGAGGCAGGCAAGAAGTAATGCAGTAGAGCGGTCTTTATACTAATTTCATTCCATAGTGTATGTATACCGGCTGTGCAGATACGAAGCCGCAACACCCTAAGTATACTCCTGTGTAGGAAAGATATAAGACGCCGGAATCCAATTTGTGAAACATTGTTCATGACTCAGTGGTGGTGCCGGGTCGGCTCTTCGGGTGTACTTTGTTCATTAATGACATACAAAACTTCCAAGTTGATATTTTCACAAACCAAAAAGAACAGCAACCCTCCCCAAATGGACCACGCGGAACCTTCTAGAGGTCGTTGGCCAGTATCAACCCCCCTAGTCGCTGGTGATTTCCATCCCCCCCCCCCCCCCCCCCCCGGGACGAACTGCTTCCTTTCGGTGTGGGCGCTGCCAAGGCCTCTCTGCAGAATTTTCCATTAAATCGAGGATTCTGCATCTGTCTGCCAGCCGAAGCCAGCGCAGTTCCACACAACAGTACTATAGGCTTTTAGTCAGGTTCTATTACCAAAGCCTGACTCGGAATCTACCTGGCGCTTCCCATTCAAACGGTAAAAGTCAAAGTGATCGCCGTCTGAGAGCAAACCGTATACGTCACGAGCTGGCTTTCCGGCGTCTTCCGGCATTTCTGCACCACCACTACTCCCATTACTTTATTAGTAACCCTTGTTACTTACCCCGACATTTAGATCAGCTAAAGCGAAATTTACTTACGCATATACCCCAGAAGCTGGGGCACACCCCGGAAGATCTCATCTCTTCCATTTTGACCTCGATGGCCACCAGATGCTTATGAGCATCATCCCCATCACCGTAACACAAGGACCAATCCACATTCCCAGCAAGCTCGATTCTCTTCTCGGGGAAACGTGCAACCATCAAAGTCTCATACTCGAGATGAACCGCCGCGTGTTCATTCTCTGGATTTCCCAATCCTCCTACTACCGCCTGAAGAAACAGATCTACACGGCTTCTTACTTGGGCTTCTTTCGCGCGGGAACCTTTGGTTGCTTAGTGGCTCTAAGCCATATATCTAGAGCTTGACCCCAGTATAATGTCAGTAAGCGTTGTCATTGTAAGTCGTTGTCAAGCAAGATGACCGGCTCACCTAGATGTTGCGCCCACTGCGACGCTCGCGATTGCCAACATCGTTGCACGACGGCCACTGTTTCGAACACTCAATTAGCAAGACTTAGTCGTAGCCTGGGGTAAATTACATAGAGCAGGATAGACTCACGTAAAGTAGCCAGGAGTTGAACTCCATGACAAGTCTCTCTGGACTTTGCCTCGATGCAGGCAATGTACTTGAAATTATCGTTGCCGTTGCCATAGCAAAGCGACCAGTCCACGTTCCCTGTGAGGGTCTTCTCTGGGATCGATAGAGATCTCGAATGGTGATCAAGTTCTCCTCGTTCATTTTGGATGAGAAGGAAGAGGAAGTAGAAGTGGAGAGGTTCGAGAAGCTGGAGGAGGAGGAAGAAGAGTTTGTCACTTCGGTCTGCCCGCAGGAAACTTGGGGAATGGTGATTCCATTGAATGATGGAGCAGTGTGAATGCCGGCTTCTACGAGTGAATCTGGTGGTGGGAGAGGATTGATTGAATGTTGAAAGGAGCGATCAGGAGGACGAGGGTGAAGGAGAAGGCACAACGGGAGTACTATAGCAGCCTGCTTTAGGGCCTGTTCTAGCAGTGAAGTACTAGACTGTAGACTAGTCCTTGGCCGGTGATTGTCGATCGCGAGCAGGTTCGGGTTGCCAGCTGCGGTCACAGTGCACCAGAGGGTCGTCATGATGAAGACGACCAGGTCATCAAGTTGAGGTAGGGCTGCGGGCGTTCTTCGAAATGAGCTTACAGTGACGAGATGGACCCAGTTTGCTTGGTGACACATCCACCTTTGGGGAAAACCAAGATCAGACATAGCAAGCACATAGCTCAGTACACTCGTCTCTCCACTGAGCAAACCTCTTCTCGCGATGGAATCCACCAACAGCGACACCACGAGCCGCCTCCTCTGCCTTCCTCGGGAGGTATTCGACATGATCCTGCAGCTCCTCACCCCTCCAGCGCAGGTGTGTCTACTCCTAACATGCCGCGGCCTCTACCACCACCAAGTCTACAACGCCACCATCAGCGACCTCCGTCCCCAATTCCAAATCACCTCCGACATGATGAATTACAACAAGAAGCGAGGCTACGATCGACCCACGATCTACCGCAGGGCCCTCCTCCGCCAACTCCAAGACGACCGCTGGGCCTACTGCTTCGCATGCTTCGAGCTCCATCCGCGGGCCGAATTCGACAGCTACAGCTGCCACCACCGATGGGCGCCGTTCCTGGCGCTCAGCACCAGCGCCATGTGCACCGCGCAGACGGGCATCGTCGACCTCTGCCCCTGCATCAGCCTCACCGCGCGCCACAAGATGCGGATTGCCCGCTACCTCGCGAAGGATGCGTCCGACCCGCAAGACCGGCGGTATGCCCCTATCGACACGGACCCCCGCTTCCGAGTCATTCCCACCGGCCCCAACACTCGCGGCCTCGTCCACGACTGCAACATCCCCGCCTGCTGGGCGGGTGACATTCTCTCCCACAGCATGGTCCTCTTCCTCGACAGTCGACGGAACCTGATCGCGCACACGTGGTACCGCGTAAGCACCCGCTGGGGTAGTGCCGGGTGGTCCTTGTATGCGTGTCCGCATTATTCTCTCCTGGCCTTTCGCTACATTGAGCCGGTGCGCAGGCCTTCCCACGTCTGTCCACTTTGTCGAGCGCAGTGGCACACGGAGCTCGGGTGGCCGTGGCGGGACGAGCTGTGGGTGACCCTCACCAGGGATCTGGGGGGTGCACGGTGGCCGCCCGATGCGGCGTGGCAGGCGCAGCGTCGGGTGCGGAGTCGGGGTTGGTACAGAAAGATGTTCAAGGAAGACAGAATGGGGGTGGATTGGGTGCAGGATCGGGATATTGTGGACGATTCGTATGGGGAAGAGAGTGCAGGGGATCCGGACGAGTGGGATTATCCGTATGAAACGGAATCGGAGTTCTTCAACGATTCGGACGAGTCGGAGTCAGATGATTCACTCAGTTCGGACGATTCAGACGAATCAGAGGAGTCAGACTCTTCAGATGATTCGGAGGATCCAGCAAATTCAGCGGATACAGATGATTTGGACGATTCAGGGTGATTCCAAGGTCTGGAGGCGCAAGGCGTAACACAATTCAGATGATATGAACGATGCGATATGCTTTCAGGCATGACTCGGCGAACTAACCCACTTGATTAATTTTGGTGGCTGGTGGGTTTGGGAATAGCTTAGAAGCAGAGTCACTTCCTGGAAGGATAAATGCAATAAAGGCTGCATCAGCTCTCGTTCAGGGTACGTACACCTACAAACCTGCTAGACTCTTTCTCTCTTCGCCCCCCTCAGAATCGTAGAGTTAAGGTTAATGCCCGCCGCTCCACAGAAACCCTAACTATTAGCTCACCCTCAGCAATACTACAACCTACATCTTGTTTTGCCTACTTGCCACCTCAGACCCTTTGCTTCAGCGTACACATGATGTCACTGTACAACCTGCTCTCTGCTTTCTTCCCACCAGGTCCTCTATCCTGATCACTGGTGATATCAATCTTTAGATCATGGCACAGTCACTACATAGGATGCGAAAGATTCAATACATTTGATCAATGTATGCGGACGATTGAGCACTCAACTATCCCTTAGAACCGGCAGTCTATCCTCGCTGTTCAATGGCGCCGTAACGATGCCTTCGAACGATCAGTACGGAAAACGCCTTGCAGTCAACTACATCGACCAAACCGCTCGAAGCGATCCGACCAGTACAGCGGTGTATCAGACCATTACAGTGGGCTCAAGCACACAAACGCATACAGTGACGTATAGCAACCTCGCCAACATCATCAACAACCTCGCCAGGTGGCTGGACGAGCTCACACCAGTGACAGAGGAGCACACGCGGACCATTGGGTTAGCTCCATCTCCATGCTGCGAGATCATGGTCTAACTCTCCTGTTAGATATCTTACTGCACTGAAACATGCGCAAACAGGATACGGCAAGGGCAAGCTGATAGCCAGCCTTCTGCTCCATCGAGCCGGAGAACTCGCCGGCGTGCGAGGATCGATCTGCCGTCTGGGCCAAATCGCCGGACCGGTGGACTCAGCAGGTGTATGGCCTCGTCGGGACTGGTTCCCGTCGCTTCTCGACAGCTCCCAGGCCATCGGGTATCTACCGGACTCTCTAGGGGCGCAGGATAGTCTCACCTGGATTCCGGTTGATATCCTGGCAGAGTTGATAGCCGATCTCGCGCTGACGGGAGAAAGGAGCGGAGAGACGACGTCTTACTACCATTTCGTCAATCCACAGTCGGCCAAGTGGGCGGATATGGCACCGAGCGTGATTGCTCAGCTGCAAGGGGAGTGCACAATGACAAGCTTGTCTGAGTGGGTGAGGAGGCTCGAGGATCATGCGGCCAGAGCAGCGAGCTCTGAGACGCAGCCTTCATCGGGGGTGAAGTTGATTGGCTTTTACAAGTCGCTTCAAAGCCGTCCGCTGGATTTGGAGACCTGTCAGACTCAGGATGTGATTCCTCGGCTTGGGAGTATAACCGCTGTGAATGAGGAGTGGATGCGAGCATGGCTGAGACAATGGGCTCATCCAGAATAAGATGGAGATGACAGGCCGTGAGCTAGGAACTATTTTTTGAGACTGTCCATGGGTAGCCACTTTCGGGGCTTGGTTGAAGTGTATTTTCATACTCATGAACCCATATTGCACGGTCTCAACCCCATCTATCGACCTTTCTGAGTAATACGGCCTGACTCACAGGTATACGCGATGCCCGGCTTGAATTCGCTGATACTTCTCGAACAACCAGCTGGCGGGGTTATACTGCGTACAACGTAGATTTCACATGACTCAGCGCTAGTGCAACGATGGCTTTCTTGTGCCCAAATTTGGGCGTCCTAAGTTGATCCCCGTTCAGAAAGGGTACTGAATCAATCTGGTAGTGCGGGGCGGTACCCAGCCCTGAGTACCGTACGCCACTTACGCCCCTGAATGCAGAGCGTGGCTGCCCGCATCACTTTTTCCTGGGACAGCCAATCCGGCTCATCCATTTCCGAGGAATTGATCGATCGAACAAATAGGGCGTGTAATCCAGCCATCCATTGACTCCACCCATCCTAAAAATAGCCGCCCCAAAGACATGGACAAACAACCCCGCCACATCACGTGCCATCCTTATCGGCTATCGATAAATAACTTATCCCCTGGCTTGAGAAAGCAACATCACAACAACATACATATACACACACAACACCTCGGCTCTCCATCACACAACACACAACACACCACACCCAAAACCCTCCCTCACCACCCACCAAACCCCTAACCCCCACCAAAATGCCCCCACACAACGGCCTCGTCCACCCGAAACAATACGACGTCAAAGACAGCAACGTCGAACTGATCAACAGCGCCCTGGACCACCAAGTGAAACACAACAGCGCCACCACCGAGCCCGCCTGGCGCGCCGTCGGCACGACCCCGGGGCTGTACATCTGGCGCATCGAGCAATTCGAAGTGGTCCCGTGGCCGCGGGACCGGTACGGCGAGTTCTACGACGGGGACAGCTACATCGTGCTGCACAGTGCCAAGCCCCCGCCTTCGCAAACCCAGCAGCCGCAGCCGGACACTGAGGGCGAAACCCCGCTGCAGCTGCAGCATGACATCTTCTTCTGGCTGGGCAGCCACACGTCGCAGGACGAGGCCGGCACCGCCGCGTACAAGACCGTCGAGCTGGACGAGTACCTGCACGGGGCGGCGACGCAGCACCGCGAGGTGCAGGCGCATCCGTCGAGCGAATTCGTGGGGTTGTTCCCGCGGATCTCAATCCGGAAGGGCGGGGTGCAGTCTGGGTTCCGGCATGTGGATGGTTCTGCGGAGGACGAGGAAGAGGGGAGGATGATGCTGTTGCGCGTGTTCAGGCATGCCGGGGCGGCGCGGCCGGGCTCGTTGATCGTGCATGAGGTCGAGCCGACGTGGCGGAGCTTGGACGATCGGGATGTCTTTGTGTTGGATGTCCGGGATAAAATCTGGGTGTGGCAGGGCCGGGCCTGCAGTCCCATGGAGAAGGGGAAGGCGGCGCAGGTGGTGCATGATCTGACGCAGGCGAAGCACGTTGAGGTCGAGGTGCTGTCGCAGCTAGAGGCGCGGAGTAAGCTCGTCGTCGACATGCTGGGCGGGCGCGAGGTCGAGCAGCTCTCGTTCAGCGCGCCGCGGCCCATCTCGGAGAAGCGGAAGCGGGCGGCGGGCGATGAGGATGAGGACGAAGGCCAGAGGGCTGGTGGCGCGCAGCAGCGCAAGTTGTTCAGGCTGAGTGATGCGGATGGCTCGTTGTCGTTTGAGCTCGTCAAGGAGGGGAGTCACATCGGCAAGGCGGATCTGGATGGCAAGGATATCTTCCTGTTTGATGACGGGGACCGGCTGTGGGTGTGGCAGGGGCTGGAGGCGAGTGCCGCGGAGCGTGCGCTGTGGTTGCGCGTGGCGCAGTCGTATGTGCGCTGGCTGCAGGAGAGTCCGGAGGGGTCCGAGGCGCACCTGATTCCCATTTCCAAGGTCGTGCAGGGCCATGAGAGTCCGGCGTTTATGCGCGCCATCGCTGCGGAGGCTTAGGGCCGTTGTTGGTGGGAGAATGAAGTGTACTGTATATATGCTATGTATCACCTAACATATCACGTTTTCGGGATCTAGGCAGCAGGTTATGCTAACGGCTGGCATCAGTGAGCATTGCTGTAGCTATCTCCAAACACATTATAGTATCCAAACCTCAGTCCAGTACATACGGGGGTGATAATGCAACTTGTTCCCCAGAAGAAAGCTATCACCTTCCTGCGGAGTAGTGTCAACCACCACACACCCGGTTTGAAGAATTGGATTATGGATTACACCAATTCCAACCCTAACTTCCGTCTCATTCTTCGCTGGCCCTATGCCACCGTGGCACCGCACCCTGCTCAAGGATCTATGTTTGGGTGGGGTGAGGATCACAAAAGAGGCAGGTAAGCGCGATTATGTAATCTCTCCAAATTAAATTAGGGTCCAGACCCACTTGGAAGTGATGTTCGGGCAGTCCAGTTGCGTACAGTTGCGTACTTTGGGAGACTTTCAGGCAAGAGACCCCGCGGGAAAGATTTCCCTCTGGGATATGAACTTTGTCCATCTTAATGATCCACATGCAGACCGGCTACACCAAGGCAGACTGGCTACTAATTTGTGTTTCTACTCGAAATAAAATTAAAAAACAAATCAAGTTAAACTAGAAACCCACGGGAAAAGTACATGATGAGAATTCCGACTTTTTCGCTTCCTTGCCACCTCATTGCTGACTAAATTATGCTGAATGCTGATGCTGTGGGCTTAGTTAGGGAAGTTCGCACTCGACCCGCCGATGCCCCCTCGCGCTTTCCAAACCCAACCCCTCCGGTCCTGACTTGGCGCTGCTTCATCTGAGCTGCTTTGACGTGGATCGGCCGCTGCACGGAAAATGGGGCAACGCCACCGTTCTTTGACGGGCTGTGGCACCTGTCGCAATCGTCACCTGAAGTGCGACGAAGGCCGGCCAACATGCCAGATGTGTCGAACAACGGGGATCACATGCCCAGGATACAATGCCCAGGTCAAGTGGCCTTCTGTGCGCAGCATAGATGGAGGCTCCGAGAGCGAGCGATCTGGGGACCGTGTTTGGCGTCGGCCACTCTATCAAGGTTGGTCAGCAATGGACCGTTGCGAGCATCGGAATCGCTCCTCATTGACGCAACTGTAGTCGTCGAACAGGAGTCTATGACAAAGTCGACTGTCAGTAGCCTCGGGCCGACTACGGTCAACGCCGCACTGGAGAACATAGATCGTTGGTTGGAGACAGGCTATGGCCGCCGACCTTTCTTCCAGGGACCATTTGGTGTTTTAGACCTGCTGCAAACCACGTCGTCGCGCAATCCCGAGGCTGTCGACGATGTGCCTCGAAGCCAAGCTGACGGACAGACGCAGGACTGTGGCAATCGAGGAATTGTCGAGCGCTATGCTGCCGAGATGCATCCCATCGCCGACGAGTCAGTGCTCCCAGCGGCAAGCACCCATCGGCAACTGTTCGAACCGCCTCCACCGTCCACTGTGGCTTCCCCCTGTGATGATAGACTCCAAGACGCCTTGAGCCCTCATTCGCCCATGAGCCGTTCGTCTGTTGGCTGGGATATGCGAGGAGCCGCACTGTCTCCCGACGTTCCGCCACGCGCTCTCGATCTTCTCCGTCTCTTCAAGGCCAATGCCCTTTCGTTCTCTTCGCCGTTGAGGGGTAGCCCAGATTGTCCTTGGCAGACAATCCATCTCCCTGCGGCCATGTCCACGTACGCGGAGGTACTGGTCACCCAGACGGCCAGTCACCACAGACTGTCCCTATTCCATTCGCTCGTTTCCGCCAGCTGCCTCTACGGTGGTGCGGAGCGCTTGCGAGATACCATGGACTGCGAGACGTCGCGTGTTTCGAGCCAACAGCTGGCCAAACAACACCTCAAGCTTGCCCTGGAGGAAGAGCGTACGGGCAGGCACCCAGTGAAATACAAGGAACTTCTCATGGCCATACTTTCAATGATTTATCTCGAGGTTTGCCAACTTCATTCCATTCCCCGAAACGACTAGAAACGCTCATCGCTGCCACAGATTCTGTCTGAAGACTACCACGATGCGCAAAGGCTCTTGGTCGAAGCGGAGTGGTTGATACGACGGCGGGGATTCTCCAAGGCGCAAAGGTCGTGCGAGGCCCGGACTCTGCACCACATCTACACCTGGCTGCGCATCCTCGCAGAGAGCACCTGCGGCTGTGCCCTTGTCCGAGTTTGCCCGGCACGCCCGAACGCCAGTCTCGTCGCGGATGGGAGACCAGCGCAGGCCCTTCGAAGCTTCCGGCTCCCGAGCACGGCCACGCTGAGCGAGCTCGACATGGAGGTTGAGAAGACCGATCCCGTCGGATATGAGGATCTCCACCTCGAGGTGATGGGCACGTGGAGCAGCAGTCTCTTCCACGGCATGTACGGGATCCCGGAGTCCCTGATGGGCCTGTTGTCCCAGGCGATTCGCGTGGCCAACGAGCAGGAACTGCTGGCGCGCGACACCCTGGCGGACGTGGAATTCGTGACGCATCTCAACCAACGGGCCAGGCGGTTGGAGCACCGCATCTTGTCCTGGGACCAGAGACCGTCGCCGGCCAGCAGCGAACGCGACCGTGCACCTCCGCAGCCACCTGGCTACAACAGATTTGCCATGCACCAGAGTCTGATACTCTTCTACTATCGCCGCGTCCACAATCTCAATGCTCTTATCTTGCAGGAGACCGTGCGCAAGGCATTGCGCTTCATCGAGCAGGCATGTAGCTCGAACACCACCGAAGGGCACAATTCGTCTCTACTATGGTCCGGTTTCATTGCGGCGTGTGAGGCCGTGGACAAATCGTTACAAGTGCGGCTGCTGGACTGGCTGCACGTCATGTTCCGCCGGACCGCGGTTGGCACTTTTGCTACTGCTGCAGACGTCGTGCAAAAGGTTTGGAAGGCACGGGAGGAGACCGGTGATTATACACTCAGCTGGTTTGATGTCATGGGGCATGATCGGTGCCCCATTATTGTAGTCTAGATCTCCATCAGGAGGAGATGAAGTGTACATAACGCCGATTACGCCAGCTTCTGCGCCGGCCGCGAGAAGTTCCGGGACGCCTCAGCGAGGACGACGCGCTCGATCTCACCCTCGAGTGAGGAGGGTCCTTGGGGCCGCCATCCTAGAATCTCCCGTGCCCGGATCGCCTGGTACTGAGCATTGGTGCCCCAGATGGCCGACCCGTGAGGCGTGAGTCTGTCCGCGGCGGCCGCATCGATCTCCACCGCCTCCGGCGTCCGGATGAAACCCTGGGAGTGGGCGAAAGTTGCGATCCCTTTGCCGATATCTCCGAAAGACTAGAGGGTTACAAATTAGATATTAATTAATTAATTAGTCCCGCTGCTGCGCCCACAACAATCGCGGAGAGAGAGAGAGAGAGGGAGCGTGTCCCGGGGTGGCTCACCATCTTGCCTGACTCGGCGAAGAAAATCCCATTCTCATTCCATAATTCCGGGTTCACCTGTCGCGTGGATTCGACAACCAACCTCAGGAAGAGTGCCGTCAGATCGGATACGTGGATCGTACTCCATGTGTTGAGGCCGCGGCCGAGATGAAGGCCGTGTCCGTGTTGCAGAGTTGCCTTGGCGAGGTCGGGGATCTGGATACTCCGCTGATTCACGGGCCCTCGGCCCTGGCCGTAGATGAGGGGCCCGTAGACCATGGCCGTCCTCACCCGAGGGTTGGTGGCATGCACTCCGCGGATGATATGGTCCACCGCACGCTGCGGCGAAGCGGCAAGGATCTCATGAATCTCGTGGATTTGGTCCAGATCATTGTAGATCTTGGTGCCGGGTTGGCCGAAGCTCTTAGCCTTCATCTCCGCGCCGGCCAGGAAACTGGCGCCAGAGATCTGGATCCATGCTGAGTGTTGATCAGCTGAATATTCCATCGAAACGTTTTTTTTTTTCGTTGGAAGAAGGGGGGGAGAGGGGGGGGGGAGACTTACTTGGGCTTTTACGCTCGCTCTTCGCCAGTCCTTCAGCGATAGCCTTAGCACTAGGCACGTGACTGGAGCTTGCCAGATCTGTAAGTTGTCCATATCGCTTGTCAACACCATGGTTATGGTAATTATGTGTTTGTCTGGGTTGGGGGTTTGAAACATACGAAGCACCACATCAGCCGTAGACGCTGCTTGTTGGATTTCTACACTGGAGTCCAAGTCTGCAATGAGCGGGATCACCGTTGGAAATCGTCCTGTAACGACCGCGGCCTGGCTCTTGTTGCGCACAAGGGCAATGATGCTGGACGCCGTCAGGGTCTGCGTAAGGCCGTGGAGGACGTCTCCACCGATGAAGCCGGTAACACCTGTACTGCAGAGAATGAGTTCCGATCCACTAAAAGGCTTCCTGCCAGTGCTCACATGAAGACCTTCGGACTCATACTGAATGAATGAATGAATAAATGAATGAATGGACTTTGATGTGTTTGTGGAGATAATCTCTCAACATTGTCGTCTCCGTGGATTGCGCAGACATTCTTATACTCTCACAGCATCCATACGTAATCGGGGAAACCTGCCTGGGGATCAATCAATATGACATTAATAATGGAAGTGGGTCCCCGGAAGTGGGGGGTCGGTCGGCTTAATTCCCGCCTTTCGTGGACTGTGCAACTAATTACTAACTGCCTCTTCCCCAAAATGTGTGATGGGAAGTGGCAGGTTATCGCGAGCGAGCAAGCCCAACCAAACATCTAACTACCATCCACAGGTGCTGGCCGCTACGTACGTAGATGTTATCACCAAGCAAGACCATCCTTGCAATACTCCGCGACCAGAGCCAGCAACCAGCAACCAGCAACAACTGCATGCGTCAGCAATTCGCCAACGAGGTCAACGTAGAAATCGCTCGGTACGCTGCCGAGTTTGTTCGTGAGTATGGTGACAGGTTTGGCCCCGATCCCCTGCGTTCCCAACCCTCCGGTCGACGCTGCGGGGTACTCGTGCTGCAGAGGTCGCCGAGCTCGCGGGCGATCCAAGGTGTCAATCGGAGGCGCGTCGGCGGTAACACATACAAACATCTTCATGGTGGACGAGCTGATCGTGCATGGCCGCTTCAAGACACTGGACCTGGGTCAGTGATTTGTCCTATGCTCGCATTCCGAAAGGTTGTTGTCCCCCTGGCGAAACGCGCGGTGATCTACCTAGTAGGCACTTCTCAGCCAACTTAGGAAGTAATTGTTTTTTCTTTGACTACGAGAGTCAAGATATCCAGAAGATGTATCCCCGCAATGCTCGGGAACCGCACGTCGGGCAGCGAGAGAAATGAGCATGCCCTGGTGAGGGAGCGGTCGTCAGCATTTATGCTTGGACGAGGGCGACACAACGTCTTTTCTATTTCAATGTGAACCTGTTGGTGATCTGTCGCCGACTGGGCGCTTAGTTGATTCCTTGTTTGATTTATCCAAATCTTCAGAGGGAACCCTTCTTTCCGGTATATCAATCGATGTGAAAGTTTCTAACTCAGCCTTGGTCGCAATGCTCTTTCGATGTTGCAGATGATCAGTGAGCGAAGTTCCATTTGCCGGATGGCCTGGCTGCAATGGTCACCTTCCGTAGGGCGGATCCGATGCGACAGAGGAAAAGGGCAATTGGACAATTGAAGCCCTTTGCTTTTGTCGTAGATATATACCCAACTCGCTGGTTGAGACGGGATCAAGCACTCCGTGCACAGGACTCACTCATATCAACCTGCGACTCTGTCAGGAGTACGGAGTACTCCGTACAAGCATCGACAAGCATATCCAGCGCGACCGCCATCATTCCACTGACCCGCGCGACCCCTCACTTAGGGCTAAGGCAGGCTAAAGCTAAGGATCGGCCCTCCGCATGACTCGTCCTAGACCGGGATACGAGACTGGCTGCGCCTGCGCCATGTGATGTGCCTACCGACTTGTGATCAACCTATTAGTTATCACTTCTTTATGCATGAATCCAATAATCCTCAATAGATCGACAGGGGGATATTACCCAGCAGACAGATCAACCCCGATCATTCCAACATTCCAGGACCTGGTACGGAGCGCATTCCGTTGCCTTCAGCTAGAATTGCTCGCTCCCATAACTCCTCAACCACCTTTCTCCAGTCCAGTCCATGCGAGCGCCACTGACTCGGTGCAGACTGCACCCCTAGTCAGCTGAGCCCGCGAGATCAGCCACAGGGCGCCGCGCGGTGGGCTCGCTCGTATCGGCGGGCGAAAGAAGCAATATGCTGGAGATCTCGACGGGGGCTGCCTGAGGGCTGGATCTGAGTGGGCAGTCCGCAACTGAGAGATCGGCATGGCCTGCCAAGCTGAGATCGCCAGCTCGCTGGCTGGGGATATAAGTCTGCCTTTCCCTGCTGCTTGCTACCGCCGAACCCAACCCAGCCCAACCCAACCAGTCCAACCGCCATGCACATCCCATGGTCCCTGCTCACAGCAGCCACGCTGCTCGCGCCCAGCGCGCTGGGCACCCGCACCAGCCCCAGCCCTAGACCCAAGAACACAACGCAATACAGCGTCCAGGAGCTCTGGACCCTGGAAAAGACCTTCTGGGATAACTTCCTCTACCCGGCCAACCTGGTGCAGACGAAAGCCATCAACTCGACCCTCTTCGCTCCTGACGTACGCTGGCAAAACCGACCCAAATCCCCCTTCCCCCACTAACGAAATCAACAGATCCAAGGCCGCGTCGACATAACGCGCGTCTTCAACGGCTCGACCCTAAACACAGAGTACCTATTCGGCCTCTTCAGCGACCCGACACACTTAAGCCTCGTCGGCGTGCCCGTCTCCTACAGCATCACGCAGTTCACAGCCGCGCCGAACACCAACCTCGCCTCCGCGACGACAGTGGTGACCTTCAACGCGACCTCCTTCGGCAACCTGCTGCTGCCCGTCACGATCGACACGTGGATTATGTGGAACGCGGCGGGGCAGATCGAGCAGTACGACGCGACGTTCCGCTGGTTCGGGTTCCTGGTGGACACGCTGGTCGGGGCGCTGGCGCAGCAGACCAACGCCACGGCGACCGCGGCGACCGCGTACCTGACGCAGCTGCTGGCGAACCAGATCTGCGCGACGCACGACCGCTACTGCACGGGGGCGAACCAGCAGTACGCCGACACGGCCGCGTGCTACGCGTTCCTGACGCAGAGCATCCCGCTGGGCAAGGACTACGAGCTCGGCCGGAATACCCTGCTGTGCCGCGAGGTGCACGAGCACATGGTGCAGTACGATCCCGCCGTGCACTGTCCGCATATCGGGCCAACCGGGGGCGAGTACTGCATGAATGATCAGACATACGCGCAGAAAGTGCTGCAGAAGTATTTCCGGAAGTCGTGGGTGATCCCTGAGGTGGGCGGGGAGGCGGGGGATGTTTGGTTGTAATGTAATTCTTACTGCCTAAGTATTAAATGCTAGGAGAACTAATGAAAACACGCTGTGTCATAATTACTTGCACTGCAGTAACTTACAGTACTATAAACAAACCATCCAACAATTCAATTGTCAAACCCCAACCCGGCCTCCTTCCGGACCGCCCCATACACCGCCGCAATATCCCCCTTCTCGCCCTTCTCCCGCTTGACCTCCTGCAGATACCCATCCGTCACCTCGACACTGCGCAGCCGCATCCCCGCCGCGGCCGCCAGACTCCCCGCGTGACGCAGATCCTTGCGGGCGAGATCCACCGCGAACAGCGGCTCCTCGCGCCGGCAGTAATCCCCGCTGCACATGCGGTCGGCGTACGCCGCGAACGGGCCGGGGAACATCCGATGGATGAACTCCTGGTAGACTTCCGCCCCGAGCCCGGATTTCTCGGCCGCGACCAGCCCCTCCGCGAGACTCTCGACCGTGTTCAGGATGAAGGTGTTCCCCAGCACCTTGAGGGTCGTGGCCCGCCCCACGTCGGCGCCGGGCATCGGCACCACCGCTTTGGCGACCACCCCCTCCAGGAACGGGGCGAGGCGGTCGATGGCCGCCTGCGGCCCCGCGGGCACGACGACCAGTTGCCCCGCGTCCGCGGCGGCGGGGGCCCCGAAGACCGGGCACGCCACGAAGCTGGCCCCCCTCTCCGTGAGGGTGGCGGCGATGCGCCGCGAGGTGTCCGGGTGGACGGTGGAGCAGTCGACGAGGATCTTGGAGGTCAGGTCCAGGTCGGCGGCGGAGGTGAGGGTGGTGATGATCGCGTCGAGCGCGGGGTCGTCGCCGACGCAGATGAAGATGATGGTCGCGGGGGAGACGGCGGCGGGGAGCGTGGGCGCGACGGTCGCGCGGTCGGCGGGGAGCGTGGCGGCGAAGGACTCGGTGCGCGAGGCGGTGCGGTTGTAGAGCGTGATCGGGGCGGTTTGCGGGCCTTTGGTCGCGAGGTTGCGGGACATGCCCTTGTTTTTTTGGTGTTAGCTGGGGTGGTTAGGAGGGGACAGAGGCGGAGAACTGCACTTACACGGCCGATGTTGCCCAGGCCGATCCAGGCGATGCGTTCGTTTGCCATTTTGGTTGTAGTATCAATATGAAAGATAGTCAGTCGCAATGCGTGGGTGCAGATGCAATGCAGAGGAACTGTTGTTGATGAGGGGCAGAAAGTGGGATGAAGCGGGCATTATAAACTGCGGGGAAGATGCGCCAGCCGGGCATCCTCGGATGCCAGTTTTGGGTGTTCTGGTCGATCTGCCCGGCTTGCGGATATCCGGGAGACTAAATTCTTAGCCGACCTCACTCCGATTCTCCCCTAGTCCCACGTACAGTAAGTATGTACAAGGTCAACGTCAACTCCACGAGGGCATTTGATGAGAAATTGGGCATTCGCGCGCAGTTACGACCCAATGATACCAATGGATCAAACCTTCTGACTGCCACCGAGAATGAGTCACATTCTAGTAGATTGGAAGACAAAAGCAACTCACAACAATCCAGCCTGCATGTAACACCAACCCAGGACCAAGAACGTTCTTCCAAACCAGCCGAATTCCATCAAACCCATAAACAACCACCAAAAACATCCCCCCCCAGATCAATCCTCCCTCCTCAACCCAATCATCTCCAAAACCCGCTCATGCGCAACCACCCGCCCATCCTTCCTGAACAACTTCACCGCCACCGCCTCCGCCCGCCCACGCATCTTGTCTGCTGCCTCCCCCTCCAGCACCTGCAGCATCGCCATCTCCAACTGCACCGCGGTAACCCTCCCGGCAGCCCTAACCGCCACCCCGACCCCCAAATCCTCCACGCGCTGCGCATATTCATAGTCGGCGAGGTAGACCGGGAGCACGATCTGCGGGATCCCCGCCCTGTCACGCACACACCCACTGCATCAGCATTCCAGCTTCCCTATAAGTAAGAAAGAGTAAGCAACCAAAGAGGGGAAGAAACATACCTCACCCCCTCCCCGAATACCCCGGCCTCCCCACGATGCACCACCCCCCCGACATTCCCACTCAGCAGCATCGCAAGCGTCTCCGCCGGCGGCCGCGGGTAGATCCGTAGACGGTTGCGCGGGGAGATTGTCGCTTTCAGTCTCACCACCTCGGTCTCCATGAGCCCATTACAACAAGCCCCAGAGGCCGCGCCGATCGGTTCGGGTCTCATCAGCCACAGCACCTGCACCAGCGGCTTGGCGCGCAGCACCGCGGTGATGGCGCGGGCGAACTCGATCTGCGCGCGCGCCGGCCAGGGGGTCGCTGGGCCTAGGGTGATGAGGATCGTGGGTCGCTGGCGCAGCCAGAGGGCTAGCTCGGGGTGGGTCTTGCCGAGCGGGCGGATGGGGCGGGTGATGGGGCCGCAGTGGATGATTTCGGAGGTCATGGCCATGGGGATAGGCATGGGGTCGTAGGTTCGGTGGGTGGGGAGGAGGAGCGGGGGAGGATCAGTCTTTCCGTCGAGAAGTGGGGGGAAGTAGGGGTCTGGAATTGGGCCGGGGAGATCTCTCGCGCGCCGGGCGGTTTGGATTTGTTGGAGATGCGCCGAGTGGGTGGTTCCCAGGTGGAGGAGGAGGGACAGGGTCAGGGTTTTGAGGGTCTGGGGGAGATAGAGTGGACCGAGGCTGTATTTAAGAAAGTTAGTCGTGCTGGGATCGCATTGGATCATCGGATGCATACGCAGGGGGACTTACACTGGACCCCTCCACGGCGACGGCGGGAGATACTCGTGCGCCAGCCCCGACCCCACCAGCACATGCCGCCACTTCAGCGTCCGGCAGACGTCCACCCCTGGCGCCAGTGTCGCGTCGACGACGATCACCAGGGGGAATATATCCGCCACAATGATCCCGATGTGGTTGTAGAGCGTGACGTACTCGGGCCCCGTCCAGGGGATCCGGGATTGCGGGAGCAGCTGCGTGTATGTTCGGAGGGTATTTCCCAAACTGCTGTGTGCGTGGAATGCGTCCTGCTGGAAGAAGCCGTTTTGGTCGGAGGCCTCGCGTTTGGTCGGCCCCGGGAGACTGTGGAAGGTTGCTTCGTGGTGGGTCGCGCGGTCGTGGTTCAGTTGCTTGATCGAGGGGGCCAGCTCGGCGAACGAGGCGATGTGCACGCGGACGTTGTGGCTGTGGGCGAGGAACTCGTGGGCGATCGCGAGGGTCTGGCTGGCTTGGTCTGGTTCACTGTTCGTGACGATGAGGATGTTTGGGAAAGACGTCTTTGAAGATCGGTTTGGAGTAGCCATCGTGAGTTTTTGTTGTTGGTGTTGGATGCGAGATGGTTGATGGGTTGAAGAGAATGAGAAGATGAAGGATGGAGAATCGTGGAGGCTTTATAGCACCATTTGGAATGATCCGACGAAGTTTTTTATACGTGGTCAGCGAAGCGAAGAGTCCTCATTCACTTGATTCACCATGTCGTTCCCGTAGTGAATTGGTCCATACAAGTATCAACAGATGTGTCAGCTGATCGATGATGCACAACATGTTTGCACGTTTACCGAACTGGGATACTCGGTTCCAGGGACTGAGAAATCGTAAGTGTTCCGATTATCATTAAGTCTATCTATGCTTTTGTCTAGGTATCAACAAATGTCAGAAATATCTATATGCTGGTAGCCTCGAGGGCCGAATAATGCAACGCCTGCTATGCAAGTAGTGTAGATGCAACGTGGGAGCACCCGCCGTTTGCTTCGTCGTAATGAACTCTGCGGCTCTAAAGGTTGAAGGGTGGATTGTGAAGACCGCCAGCCAAGAGCAAGCCCTATCCGACGGCAGAAAGGTCAACCCTCCATTCCAGAATCGGTGCTTGTCGAGCAAACATCCCATGCTGTGGATCGGTACCGTGTCGCTCGTGCGGAGTCAGCTCAGTCTACACAGCCAGAGAAATCACAAAAGATCATCTCTTCGTCCTCAATTCTTCCCCGGCCGCCCACTGATCGAGTTACAAGTATTCACCCGATCGATATCGTACGGATTCTCCTCGTACGTGACCGTCCGCGCCAACGAACGCGCCGACTTGCGCGAAGTCCGCGACGCCCGCGACGCCCGCCGCTCGATGGCCGCCCGTGATGGAATCGTCGACAAGCGATCACTGTCGCTGTCGCTGTCGCTGTCGCTGTCGATCGCCACGCTATCCTCCTCACCAGCCACGGCAGCCACTGGACTGCCTTTCTCCACATCCAGCTTCTCTGTCTCTGCCTGCTTCTGCTGTTGCTGCTGCTGCGCAGCGGCCAACTTCTGCATGAACGCTTCCGCCTGCGCCGCGTACGGACAATGCTTGCGGATGCGCGCGCCATACAGATAGAAGACGATCGGGAACGGAATGCACGCAACCGCCAGGAAGGCCGGGATGGAGGAGGCCCAGTGGATACCCAGGTTCTCGTACATGTAGGTGGTGAAGAGCGGGAAGGCGAAGCCGAAAAGCGAGCGGAGGGCGGAGTTGGCGGCGAGCACGGAGGCGGCGAAGATGGTGTAGGCGTCGATCAGATAATTAAACACACTCAGGAACACCAGCACCAGGCCGAAGCCGAAGGGCGCGCCCGCGGCCACCGAGGCCATCCAGTGGATGGAGGGGTAGTTGGTCCAGGCAAACCAAAACAGGCCCACCGGCAGGGCGATGCCGCCGATGATGCTGGGCGGGAGCCGCACCTCGGGCGCCAGCCGCGTCCCCGCGGGCGCCTCGCGGCAGCGCCGCGCGTACTTCATGTTGTCCGGGAAGGTGTAGGCGACCCCGAACACCATGCCGACCAGGATCCCGAGGAAGGCGAGGCCGCCAATTCCCTCACTCCAGCCGCGCGACTCCTGGAAGACGATCGGGTAGGCGGCGAAGAGCATGTACAGCGTCCCGTAGATGATGGCCATGTAGATGCAGAACAGGAGGACGATCGGCTCCTTGAAGAGGAGGATCCACGGCCGCGACAGCGCCGTCTTCAGCGTCTGCGACAGCGACACCGGCCCGCGCTCGATGTCCAGCTTGCTGCGGTAGACGTGACCCGTCAGCTCCGACAGCTTGACCGCCCGCTGGCGCAGGAGCACCGGCGCATAGGTCTCCGGCAGCAGGAACACGAGCGACAGCCACACTACTCCCGAGAAGATGGCCATAAAACCTTCAACCCAGCGCCACCCGGCCCCGGCGCCCAGGAACCCGCCGATCACGGGCCCGATCGTCGGGCCGCACAGCGGTGCCGCCGCGAACAAGCTGATGGCGATGCCGCGTTTCGAGGCCGGGAACATGTCCGCAATCGTGCCGCCGGAGTTGCCGAAGGGGGAGGAGCCGAAGAAGCCCGCGAAGAACCGCAGGATGACTAGCGTTTGGATGTTCTGGGCACCCGCCGCGCCGGCGTTGAAGGCGGTCAGGATGGCAAAGGTGATGGTGAAGACGTTGCGGCGGCCGAAGACCTCGCTCATGGGCGCCCACAGCAAGGGCCCAAAGGCGAATCCCAGCACAAACAGCGAGATTCCGAGAATCGCAATCTCTTCCTCACACTGGAACTCCTTCACCACTTGACCCATCCCGCCCGAGTACACCGAGGAGACAAGGGCCACCGTCAGCGTGACGAAGGAGACTTGCACCGTGTACAGCCATTTGGTCATGTCCTTGAAGTTCATCGGATTGCGGGGATCATTGGGAATCCAGGTCACCGCGTAGGGCGACTCCTCGGTGCCGGCGCCGTCATAGGGAAAGTCGACGATCTCTGGCGTGACGACTTTCTGGTCGAAGACGAGTTGCCAGTACGGGATTTTCGAGCTCGTGCCCATCATGGCTGAATCGGAGGGTGGCGAGAAGAGCGGAAAAAGAGGATTGGCTCGAGGTTCGTCTTTAAGGATGTATCGGATCGTAAAGGTCCGCCAGCATCCTTCCACCTCGTTTGACAGAGTGATGTCGAAGCAACAACAGAATCCAAGCTTCAGAAAAATCAGAAAATCTAGATGAAATGAATAATGCAGCCGATTTTGAGGGTGGAACCTGACACAATCGATTTCAAATTCATGCTGTTTCGGCACCGCTTATCCGGTTAGCAGACAGGCACCGGCCAATCAGCGATGAGGGGGCTGAAAACGTGCCGAGGTAAAATCTCCGCATGCGGATTAGTGCGTGTCGCTTATCTTCAGGCGGTTTCTTTTTGCCGGTCGGCTTTCTTGCCCCATTTGCTGCTACTCATACAGAAGAAGCATGCATGACGCAGGCAATTCATATTGACAAGTACTGCATATTGATGCACTGATTTTATGCGCTATACCTCACGAGTCTCAACAACACTATATCAATCAGAGCTCGATGGTCATAAATCATACTGTCCGCGTGAAGATCACGGCTTTTGGATAGTTCTTCTGCTCCTCCTGCGACTTCTCCACGGTCATCAGAAGACAGTTGGTCCGGATATGTAGTTCTACACCGGTCAGCAAATACGTCACCACATCTGAGCGAAGGAGTAGCCTACCCTCAATGTCCAGCTCATATGTAATCTCCTGCGCCTCGTCGCGGTGAACCAGCAACGGCATCTGCTGGTCGACATACCGCCTTCCCCGAACCCGCGCCTTGATTCCAACGTTGCGACTTGGATCAACCCAGAGCATACTCGCGTCGTCACAATCTTTCACAGAAGCCCTGTCGGGTGGATTAATGCCATGCGCATGAAGCTGGTGGTCGCGGTCCCGATCCCGTCCTTCCCGCTCCTTGAGCCAATTCCGGAACACTCGAATCACCCCATCCTCGACCGTGTGGGCGCTCAGCAACAGATCGCTCCCCGGCATCACTTTCACCACATTGACCACCACGCACAACTGGGAGAAGTCCTCGACTTCTTCCAGGTTGATGAGACGCGTTACCGTCCTGTTGTCCGGGTCGTGAGCTAGTTCCTCGTCTACCAAGAGTCAGCTCATCATGCCTGCACAACGTTTTTCCAAAAGCAGAATTGAAGACCACTTACCAGTCCCATAAGACCCCCATCGCGTCGTTGGCGATGTCCCATCCTCCGGTGTTCGCTCCGGGCGGAACCGCGAATACACCGAACCGAGTCGGCCGAGGCGCTCAGCGGTGTCTACGTTTTCGTACAAGGAGCCCTTCCCACCAAATTGGCTGCTCAGGTCGTCCGTGCCGATGTAGGTGCAGAAGACATGGGGCTCGATGAGTTTCGAGCTGGGGTGGAAGCACTCGAGGATGAGCTTGTACTCCGGCAGGGAGGCGGCGATGCGGAGCCGATAGTGCAGGATGCGTAGGATCAAGGCATGGAAATGGTGGCAGACTGATGTCCAGGGGAGAAGAGAGCGGGTTGAGAAGCTGGAGAGAATTTGCACGAGGACCTGGATCGGTCGGTGAATGGAGGGATGTTGATTAGCGAGGCAGAGTGGGGTGGGGAGGGGAGGATGATAAGAGGTCAAGGGTCAAGGCTTCAAGCGTACTTCGTTAGGTAGAGAGAAGAGGTTTGTCTTGGAGGTGTTGTTGTCGCTGGCCATACTCATAGCATTATTCTTGCTGCTGTGCGATGTGTGTATGCGTATGCCTGTAGTATGCACCCTGTACGTCTGGACTGTATTGTGATACTGTGATAACTGGATGATAACAGACACGGACCCGACCATGTGATGCTGACTGACCAGTTGACGTGGATGACGTCAGCTGGTCGGCCCGACGTATGAACTCCACTCAAGTCGGCTAACCGCGGGGAAGCTGACGCCGAAAAGGGTTCAACCATTGCACATAACCCCCCCATTCTCTGATTTTATACCCCTGATAGCACGATCAGTACTTCCGGAGAAATTTCGCAAAGTCTATCACTCATCGGCATTACCAACGACAAGGTGCCTGGAGTTACATGGCAGGGTCAGGGTCCATCGCTTAAATACCCGAAGGGCTTTTAATCTACCCCGTGGTGGGCATAATTTCCGGAGCCCCGCGACGGCCGGCCCCGCCAGCCAGCCCAGGTTTTTCTTCCCTCGCTCGCTTCGGCCTTCTCTGCTGTTTTTTCTCTTCTTCCTCCTTGTTCGCTTCTCTTCTGATTCTCCCACACTCTGTTCTCTTCTTTCGCGTGTTCTATTCAGCGCAAATCATCCGCGACAATGGTTGAGAAAGTTCTCGACGACATCTCCCACCGCAGATACAACCCTCTGCGCGGGTCTTCTATCTTGGTCTCGCCTCACCGGACCAAGCGTCCCTGGCAGTAAGTGTTATGCTGGCGTAATTTCAAGTGCTGGGTTTCTGGGATTTCTGGGGGAGCCCCTTTCTCTGGACTCTAAAGAAACGTACGAAAGTACAAGCAGCTAATATCAACTTGCTGTCCAGGGGTCAGCAGGAGAGCCCGTCTAAGACCACGTTGCCCTCGTATGATCCTGCCTGCTATCTCTGCCCGGGCAACAAGCGCGCTCAGGGTGATTCCAACCCCAAGTATGACAAGACGTTTGTCTTCGTGAACGATTACAGCGCAGTCAAAGAGGAGCAGGCTCCGTATACTCCGGAAAGCACCGAAGGTATAGTCTGAAACAAGCCATTCACACAGCGGACCAACCCCTTACTCACAGCTTTCTGCCTACAGAAGCGGAGTCCTTCTTCCTCAAGGCGGAGCCGGTCACCGGAAAATGCTACGTGCTCACCTTCTCGGCGGCGCACAACCTGACCCTGGCGGACCTGTCGCCCGCGGAGATCGTGCCCGTCATCGACGCCTGGACCCAGCTGTACACGGCGCACCTGTCGCCCAAGTCCCCGCTGGCGGCGGTGGCGCCGGCGACCACGCTGCCGCCCGACGCGCCGACGGCCAGCCCGGCGGCGGCCAAGGAGCAGTACCGGTACATGCAGATCTTCGAGAACAAGGGCGCGGCGATGGGGTGCTCGAACCCGCACCCGCACGGGCAGGTGTGGACGACCAGCTCGCTGCCCGAGGAGCCCGCCATGGAGCTGGAGCAGCTGCAGAAGTACCGCCGCGAGCACGGCGGCAAGCACATGCTGGAGGACTACGCCGCGCTGGAGAGCCGCAAGCAGGAGCGCGTGGTGTTCGAGAACGCCAGCTTCCTCGTCGTGTGCCCCTGGTGGGCCGTCTGGCCCTTCGAGACGATGGTCGTCAGCAAGACGCACAAGCGCGCCCTGGTCGATTTGAACGAGGCCGAGAAGGCCCACCTGGCCGAGGCCATCGCCGAGGTCACCCGCCGCTACGACAACCTGTTCGAGACGCACTTCCCCTACAGCATGGGCATTCACCAGGCGCCGCTGGAGGGCACCGAGGAGGAGGTCGAGGCCTCGTACCTCCACCTGCACTTCTATCCTCCGTTGCTGCGCAGCGCGACCGTCCGCAAGTTCTTGGTGGGGTGAGTGATGATTTTCGTGGACTCTATGTGAAATGCAAACTGACAAGGCTTCAGATACGAGATGTTGGGCGAGCCTCAGCGTGATATCACCCCGGAGCAGGCGGCTGCTAGACTCCGTGGCTGCGGAGGAGAACTGTACCGCAAGAAGATGGATGCCTAGGTTGTAGATATAGGGTTCTAACGATAGTGCACATACATTCGATAATAGCTGTACATTCTGTGTTGCTTACCCTCGAGCTTCTACCTTTTTTTCGTTTATTGTCTTCTGCCTTAATTTTACTGATTTCGAGTAGAGAAATCACTCTCATGACAAATCGTGTTAAGTAAATCAACGGATCTGCTATTTCAGGATTGTGGAGGTACGCGATCGATCGATCCGGAGATACAGATATATAAGTGGAGCCGCTGGATCGGCAGACCCTGCAGCCAGCGTTCCCTGCCTCATGCACAACAATTTTCCAGCTGTTAACCAACTACCAGAAAATGCCAATTCCACTATCCAGACAGACCACTCGATCTGAACTCAATATCATTAGTGTTAGATTAACATTACTGAACATGCGCCCTTATCCTTGTCCATTACTCCTCCTCTTCCCGTCACACCCCGCCCCTAACCCCCACCAACAACCAACACCTCTCCCCCTCACCCCCTGAACCAAACAAGAACACTCCTTCCCTACAGAAACCCCCAATCCCCCACCTACCCATCCCTTTGTGGAACACCACCCTAAGCACCCAAATACCACGCCCGCTCCCAGAACATCCACGTCAACGTGGACGAGGCGACGAGCAGCGGGCTGACGAACCGGCCCCGCAGCCGGGCACTGCCCTTGACCAGCTCGCCGACGAAGTGCACCAGGGCGATGCCGAATGTCCACAGGGCCAGGTCGTACACGGCCGGGTTGTTGATGTTGTAGGCGGCGTAGAAGCGGATGACGGCCGAGAGGAAGGTCCAGGTGCCGAAGGTGCGCGACGAGAGCGGGTTGGTGTAGACGTAGCCCTCCGGGGTGCGGCCGTTATAGAGCTCGGCCGCGTAGGCTTCGGAGCGGTAGGCTTGTAGGCTGTTGGCGGCGGAGACGACGGAGACCTTTTTTGTTGGAATTAGTTTTGTTGTTTTGGGGATGTGTGCGTGCAATTGTGAGGTGAGGATTGGGAATGAGCGGTGTAGACGGAAAGAACGAACCAGGACGAGCCATTGAGGGAGGAAGCCCTCGAAGGGGGGGAGGGAGAGCATTTTTTTTTGGGGAGGGTTGGTGAATTATCTGAAGAATTCCGGGGGGTATATTGGAGGTGGTTATACTGAGGTGACGCAAAGCTGAATGATCAAAAAAGATGAAGCTCCGTAGCTCCTCGGGATGCAGCTTAGATAGACTAGAGTGTTTGTTGGTGGTCGAAATGCGAAAAGGAAGTTGCCGGCTTGGCAAACCCCAACAATTTGCACGGCACGCAAGCTCAGCTCAGCTCCGGTTTTTCCTTCTCCGCGTCAATCCCGTCAATCCCTCCGCGTCTTCAATTTCCCACTTCCCCCTCCTTTTGCACTCACAAGTCACAACCACTCCGCATTCTGATTGTTTGTCTTCAGGTCACGCCGTGGGCGATCGCAATCATGGAGTTCATCACCAGACATCTCGATTGCCTGTCCAACTGGCACCTTCATCTGCAGCCGGGATGGCAGACTGTTGGCGCCTCCCTGCTTCTGGGTGCTGGGAGCTTGTACCTCGTCTCCCGCGCCTTGCTCCTCGTTCGGGTCCTGTTGAGCTTGTTCGTGCTCCCTGGCAAGCCGGTAAGTCCGATTCTCGATCCCACCAATGTATCGCAGTGGAGGAAACTGACTCATCTGGTGGTGCACAGCTCCGCTCCTTCGGCCCCAAGGGTAGCTGGGCCGTGGTGACCGGCGCCTCGGACGGACTGGGCAAGGAATTCGCCCTGCAACTGGCCCGCGCCGACTTCAACCTCGTCCTCGTGTCCCGGACCGCCTCCAAGCTCGACGCCCTCCGCGACGAACTCCAGTCGAAGTACCCCGCCGTGCAGACGCGGACCCTGGCGATGGACTTTGCCCGCAACCAGGACAGCGACTACGACCAACTCAGAGCGATTGTGGCGGGGCTGGACGTGGCGGTGCTGGTCAACAACGTCGGCAAGAGCCACAACATCCCGACCCCCTTCGCGCTGACCCCGGAGGACGAGCTGGCCGACATCGTGACCATCAACTGCATGGGGACCCTGCGGGCGACCCAGCTGGTCGTGCCGGGCATGATCCAGCGGAAGCGCGGGCTGGTCTTGACCATGGGCTCCTTCGGCGGCCTGCTCCCGACCCCGCTCCTGGCCACCTACTCCGGCAGCAAGGCCTTCCTGCAGCAGTGGTCGACCTCGCTGGGCGCCGAGCTCGAGCCCCACGGCATCACCGTCGAGCTGGTCCAGGCATACTTGATTACCTCGGCCATGTCGAAGATCCGCCGCACCAGCGCCACGATCCCCGACCCGCGCTCGTTCGTCAAGGCGGTGCTCTCCAAGATCGGCCGCAACGGCGGCTCCCCCAGCTACGCGTACAGCTCCTCGCCCTACTGGAGCCACGGCCTGATGGCCTACTTTTTGACTTGCATCACCGGCACCATGGGCAAGTTCGTGGTGGGCCAGAACAAGGGGATGCACGAGGCGATCCGCAAGCGCGCGCTGCGCAAGGCCGAGCGGGAGAAGGGGAAGAAGAGCACCTAAACGGTGGGGGAGGGGGGATCCTTTCTATTCTTAGAGCCGATTCCGCACGACCACGTGGGAGTGACTCAGGGAGGGAAGCGCGAGGGGAAGTGGCTCATGGCTGGGGGAGGGTTTCTACGCGGGGGATGAGCAGGGGAGGGTGTGGAGTTCGGCTTGAATTCCGCAACGGTGAAGGGTAGCAGGCTCGGTGTGAGAATCTGTCACTCGGCAAGCCGAGCCGGATGGATCTGGCAGCGTCGGTCTCGGGTTGCCGAACGGCTCGGGGGAAGGGGGGAGGGGGGGAGGGGGTTGGTTTTTTTTAGCCTTATCTTTCGGCTTTCCTAAGCAGGGGACGGGACCGGCTGGACCTCGCCATCGATCCCCTACACGTGGTGATAATGGGCCAATCAGGGTAGACAAAGGGGGGATGCTTGCAGTCACAGATCGACAGATAGGGAATCTGATCACTTACTCCAGCTACCCTGAACCTTCGCAGAAGATAGCATTTCCCTAAACAGTCGGGCAGGTGGCGACGGGAGCCTTCAAGGTTCCCCTTAGCTTCCGCTGTCAATTCCACCGCATTGCTTTTTGAGAGTGGTATGCACGTCAGAGTGCGTGGACTGTGGATTGCCTCCTCAAAAATGAGACAAACCATGAGCAGAGCATGGCATGCATCCAAAAGAAGTGCATGTCCACTACGGGACTAGCAGGGATTTATTCCCTGCAGCAAGCAGTCCGACACCTCAAACCAAGAGCCCAGAGGCTTGCAGGTATATACCATGCCGCAGTTACTGTAGGTGTCGTAATTATCGTCGCAGACATTCTTCTTTTCGGTTCTACATGTCGTCGTCCCTGACGCCATTCCATTTCCCTTTGTGTAGCTTGGTCACAGGGCCTGAAACCTTGGTTTTGAGGCAGATGACGCCGAAGGTTGACCTCGACGTTGTGTTTCGGATTCTCACCGCTTATGCAGGTGTGTACGGTTTGCGGCCAGTGGAATTAAGGTAAGTGTGAGGGCGAGAATATGATCTCATCGGCCGCAGCGAGGTATCGATCTCCAGCGAGTCTGGCGAGTCTAGACCAGGGAGGGCTAGTGCTAAGTATCTATCATCCTGGCCATGTTATCTTGGTCCGCGGTGCAGGCGGTGGCCGGGCTTGCTTCCCTTTTTGATGGGATGGTCTGGCTGGCAGGTTTGGGTTTCGGGTTTCAAGGTCAGGATATTGATGATACTGCTACTGATACTGATGGTGATGATGAGGGTGAGGATGTCATTTGGATTTTGGGGTTGTGATGATTGTAGATGGAAAACGGGGTACAGGTAGGATTGATGCCTATCGCACAGTGCTGGAGCGTACAGGCTGGCTGGCTGGCCTCTTACGTGTGGTGTTCACCAGGTCACTTGGATCCTCGCTTTGCGTGCACAGTGCAGTGAGCTAGTACCCTTAGTAGTCTACTATACCCACACCCGGTCCGGTGCTGCTTCGCTTACAGGCTACAGCGAGGGTCGGGTTTGAGGGGGTTGTTTGGTTTGATCCAAACACAACGAAAATGAAACAGAAAGAATTCTTTTTTTTCCGTTCTGGGCAAACTGGGTTTGGGTTGGGAATGGGTCAGGAACCGGGACTGAATTTTTCTGTTTCGCCGCTTGTGTGGCCTGCTGGGTTGGTTCCTGGATGGATGCCTTAGGCTTGATACCGTAGTTGTACATTTACATGTCCGTTATTTTGAGGGCAGTCGTTGATCGGGAGAATTGTGTCTTGCTAGAGGGCATAGCTGTCGGGAGTGTGTTTATCCAGACACCCAGAATGCATTCTGTTTGCAAACAAATGCCAGTATGTTATCTTGGGTTATCATTCCAGAGGCCGAGTGCAGCGTTGTTTGTTGTTCTGATCTCGGGTGAAACATCAGGCTGGCTAGACCGCATTCGGGACGGGTGAGAACCAGCCCTCAGTCTACGTCGACTCGACTCAAAGTGGGGGCATTCCTTGGTGAGGTGAGTGAGGCCCGGCTCCACTCTGCTTCCGGCAGTGTTTTTAGTAGTCCACAATCTAGAGAACAGTAGGTGCCGTTGCCGGTTGGGTGGTTTGATCTTTTCACCTCAACTGGGTGATTGTCTTGGTGGTGTGAGGTTCTGCCGGGTTGTGTGATGATTTCAGATGGTCTGGTCTGCTCTACATTTTTAACTGCTGTATACACTTTTGAGTCGAGGGAGAGTTCGCGTATTGTGTGCAGCACACACAACAGCACAAGAGATCGGTTATATCGGCCGAATCACCACGAGAGCAAGAAATTTTCATCTCGCACGGGCAAAGCCGAGATAGATGACGGGCACCCGTTGCGCCTGCCAGTGTTTGGGCTTTCTCGCCCCGTCCGGCATGCCGATAACAGCTCATCAACATGGATTGTCTGACCAGCGAGAAAACTTTTCACCGGGCCGCCGAAACCAGTTCGAACCAGTGCAGATCGGCCAACTTCCGTCGAGTGGTGCGCACTCCACCCGCCACCGGTGAGCTTCAAACGGGAAGGATCCAGATTCTGCCTTGGCTAGCGGCCCCTCGTCTAGTGGGCTAGTCTGCCTAGCCTGGGTTTAGCGGTGCTGGGTTCGGCACACCGAGACAACTTTCTGGGCGTCTGGCGGTGCAATGCCGATTCCGAGGGATTTTGTAGGCTGAGGGTTCGGGTGGCCGAGAGGAGGGGCTCGGGTTGCTGCTGACGCTGCACTTGGTTTGCTGGTGAGGAGGTGGTACATGGTGGTATTGCTAGAGACTTAGTACTTATTCCACATTATAGCACACCGAACTCATTGTAAGCTATATTCTTTTTTTTCTCATTCTTGTTGGATGGTGTTGTGTATAGCAGCCCAGACGGCGAGACCGAAAGCGATGACGCAGCGGTGGTGACGGTGGTGACGGTGGTGTTGTTCCTGAGTGTTGTGGCCGGCCTTGGTTCGGGATCGACACGGGATTCTCTCTTTGAAAAAAAAAAAGCAGAAAATTTCTGCTTGCAGGGCGAAACCAGCACTAACCAGCACTGGGCAAGCCCCACTTGGCGCCCGCGGATCTCCCTCGATTGGTACCGCTTGCGGCAACTTTACTACGACTCTCGCTGCAGCACGGTTTCTGGTTCCTCAGGGGTTGTCTGTCTGTTTGTTTGCCAACCAGGCGAGTAGAAAAATCTTTTCATTTCCTTCGCGTCAATTCTCTGACACAGAGAAAACCGAGAAAGCCAGAGCACTGAATCGCTGGTGGATCATGGTCTCTGGTCCTCGTCGTGAAGAAGGCTCTGTTTGTTCGGCTGCGGTGTGTTGGATTACTTCATCCTGGGCTTAGTAACTCAACTGGACAATAAGTTGCTGTCTATACGTAGCAGGAAAGCAAAGGTGGTGGTGGATCATGCGCCCGCCCATCCGCTCTTGCACGCACAGCATCCCATTCAACCATCGTAACACAACCTGAAGCTGTCATCGGCATGCACGGCACCCTCTCTTCAATTGTTGTGTACTGGGTCTGGGTGGCAAACCACCCGGTCTCGAATAAGGCCCGATTGGCGAACAATGGAATTGTACTCGGTAGGACTGGTTTTGATGGGCGCATCCGCATCGCATCACACGGGCCTCAACCTGGTCACGGAGTGTTATAGGAAGCAATTTAGATTGCAAGCGGCATCACAATGACGGAGGCCACGAGCCCGAAAGGGGAGTCGATGCCGGAGCCGATGGAAGGATAGAATCAATAGTGTACAGTAGAGTTAGAGGTGGCAGATGTAATCTGCTGTCATTGAATAGCTACTGTGTATGTATAGTAACTAATAAGTTCAGTTGCCCTTTGTATGCAGTAATACTGCAATAATAATGGAATGCATAAGATGCAGAATGACCGAATCGGGTAGGCACTCGTGACTGCAGATGCAGTGCCAGAGCAATGAAAAGCCGGATCGGGAGGATTCCAGAAGGGTTCCATTCCTTTTCCCCATCAAATAATCTCCTCACTCTCTCCTCACTCTCTCCTCACTCTCCCACCCTCAACCCACACCTTTCTCCCACTTTCTCTCCCAGTCTCCCCCAAATTCCTCGCTCCCTCCTTGTCTCCGCCGTCTTCAGCCTTTAGTCAGGCACGTTTCTCCGGGTTAGTGCCGCTTTCTCTCGGCCTGCCCTCTCCAGTCTCCAGACCCGGTTTCTCCACTTCGCCCATCATGCCCAATAATGTGCCCGGAATCTCTTTCCCTCCACTTCCCCCTAGCTTTGCAATGTTCCGAATTCTCCCACCCTCGTTCGTCCCGGCTCTGTTTTCGGGGTAAATCCCGAGTCGAAAAATTCACAAGAAAAAGAATAATAAAAAAAAAATACCAAACTGAGACGCTGAGATCTGGGCCCCCGTTTTTTCCTTGCCCATGCCCATGGTCCTACCCCGACAAGAATGGGCCATGGGGTGTTTCCTCCAATCCCTGGGATGGAGGCGAATTGCCGACGGATCGAGTGCTGCTGCTGCTGCGTTCAAAAATTCTTTTCCCTTGCCTTTTTCAGTCCGTTTGTTGATGACGCCGCCGTCATCCTTACCGAGTCCGTTCGGGTCTTCTTCTCCATCTCTCCGTATATAATTCCTCCACTTCCCCCAGCTTCTCACTCTTGACATCTTCCCCTTCACTCATCAGTTTGTGTGTGCTTTTCAACTTCCCTTCACACTCATCCACAACTGTCAAGAGGGAATCTCATTCAATCTGCCTTTGTGTCTGTGAACCCACCGGCAACATGGGTGTCCACAACATTATGTCCCGCTTCAAGCCTTCGACTGAGCACTCGGAGGCTTCCACTCCTGCTCGCTCCGACTCCTACGCGGAGAAGGACCACGGCATCGTCGATGACTCCCCCGTCAAGTATCTCACCTGGCGTTCGTTCATCCTTGGTCTCTGTGTGTCCATGGGTGGTTTCATCTTCGGTTACTCGACTGGTATGCATGGCGATCCTTTTCCCCTCTTGACACCCGACCCCGACTCCGGCTAACCCCCCCGCCTCCCCACAGGTCAAATCTCCGGTTTCGAGACTATGCAGGATTTCCTGATGCGCTTCGGTGAGCAGCAGGCTGATGGCTCCTATGCCTTCAGCAACGTTCGTTCCGGTCTGATCGTTGGTCTGGTATGTTTGTTGTTCATTCCGTGCTCGGCTACGAGATCGCCCCAAGTCAATTAAACTAACCGCTGTGTCAGCTCTCTATCGGTACTATGATTGGTGCCCTGACGGCTGCTCCCATTGCCGACCGTTTCGGCCGCAAGCTCTCCATCTCTTTCTGGTCTCTCATCCACATTGTTGGCATCATCATCCAGATTGCCACCTCCACCAGCTGGGTCCAGGTCGCCATGGGCCGTTGGGTTGCCGGTCTCGGTGTCGGGGCTCTGTCCAGCGTCGTCCCCATGTACCAGAGTGAATCTGCTCCCGTCCAGGTTCGTGGTGCCATGGTCAGTGCCTTCCAGCTGTTCGTCGCCTTCGGTATCTTCATCTCCTACATTGTCAACTACGGCACTGAGAGAATCCACTCCACTGCCTCCTGGCGTATCACCATGGGTATCGGTTTCGCCTGGCCCTTGATCCTGGGTATCGGTACCCTCTTCCTGCCCGAGTCCCCCCGTTACGCCTACCGCCAGGGCCGCGTCGACGAGGCTCGTGAGGTCATGTGCAAGCTTTATGGTGTTGGTCCCAACCACAGCGTCATTCTTCGTGAGATGAAGGAGATGAAGGACAAGCTCGAGGAGGAGCGCAACGCGGGCACTGCCAAGTGGCACGAGCTCTTCACTGGTCCTCGCATGTTCTACCGTACCATGCTGGGTATCGCTCTCCAGTCTCTGCAGCAGCTTACCGGTGCCAACTTCATTTTCTACTACGGAAACACCATCTTCCAGTCCACTGGTATCTCCAACAACTACATCACTCAGATCATTCTCGGCGCGGTCAACTTCTTCATGACTCTGCCCGGTCTCTACATTGTCGAGCACTATGGTCGCCGCAAGAGTTTGATGTACGGTGCCGCCTGGATGTTCATCTGCTTCATGATCTGGGCCTCCGTCGGTAACTTCGCTCTGGACATCGACAACCCGGAGAGCACTCCTGCTGCTGGCAAGGCCATGATTGTCTTCACCTGCTTCTTCATTGTCGGTTTCGCTACCACCTGGGGTCCCATCGTCTGGGCCATCTGTGGTGAGATGTACCCTGCCCGCTACCGTGCTGCCTGTATCGGTATTGCCACTGCTGCCAACTGGACCTGGAACTTCCTCATCTCCTTCTTCACCCCCTTCATCAACTCCGCCATCCACTTCGCCTACGGTTACGTGTTCGCCGGATGCTGCTTCGCCGCCATCTTCGTTGTCTTCTTCTTCGTCATTGAGAGCAAGGGCCGCAGTCTCGAGGAGGTCGACAGCATGTACGTGCTCCACGTC